ACCAACCCCTGAGCCCGTTCTCAGAGGAAGACAACAGCAAGGGCCCTGCCAGTTGGAGGTAGGAGAGGGAGAAAGGGAAACAGTTCTCACCCTCAAATAAAGGATAAAGAGGTCCTTACTCCACCTTTTTGGGCTATTGTCTATTGTGTCAGCCTCTGTGGATTCCACACCAAGCAGCTTCCTGGGTCCTCCTGCCTCCTGGCTCATACCCTTTCTTTGATATGGAACACGCTTTTGGAGTTTCTGTCTTCCTGCTTCAAACACTTGCTGTGATACATCAAGAGTCATCCTGTCTACTCAAGTGTAGTCACCCATCAGCAATTTCCTGCTGAATATGCCCCAACAGTGCACAAAGCCAATGTTCAAAACATGGGCCTCACCCCTCCCCGTCCACCTTCCTTGTGGAATTCTTGCTCCCTTTCTGATACCTTTAATGTCTTTCTTTTTGCAATATCTTATTACCTGCCTGCGATATCCTTCCAAAGACAATGCAAGTCCTATCTCCCCCCATCATAATTCATTTGTTAGAGAAACATTTAATGAGCACCTACATACAGTGTAACAGAGCAGAGGACAAGAAAGTCTGTGCCCTCATGGAACTTACACTTTGTGAGAACTTTAAATCAGCAACTGAGCACTTGTAATGATTGCTCTAAAGCAAAGGCAATGGATAGGGACAAAAGAAACTTTCAAATCCTGCCCATTCTCTGATATCCAGGAAGAGTTTAATAACTGTCAACGTGGATTTTTTTTCCCTTTCAAATCTGAAGGCTGGATATCAGCATGCAATTGCATCTGGGTCTTGTACCACTGACAGTTATATGGGGTCTTTGCTTTGAAAAGAATGCCTTGTGTCTGAGACTTTTGGGGCCTACCTCCCACTTTTTATTCATTGACCCAGTATTCACTAATGCTGCCATTGTGAAACAGCCCATGCTGAGGGCTGTGGTAGAACTCAAAGGATTTAAGGCCAGTTATCTGGGGTCTTTGCTTGGAAAAGGATGCCTTGTGTCTTATCGATCTCAGGTGGAAAAAAAGTTCTTAGAGCAGTTCTGTGTGATGAAAGCTCAGCCTGGAGCAAGGAGCTGATTCGTTGGTGCTGACTGGGTGGTACTGGCAAAAATTACAATTCCCTGGAGCTTGACTAAAATACACTGGCACTCTTTCAAGTGAATTCAGCTAAAAGCTGACTAGGGAACAAATGACCACCAAATAGCTTGCACTGCCTTAAGAGTGAATCTTCCCTCTGAAGATTATATCAGTAGAGTTTTTTCCCTCCAATACCACCATTTTATAAACCAGAGAAGAGTGTTTGGTGGTTTGGGAAATATAGCAGAGCTGGTAGGGGGAAGCATTTTAGATCAGCTCTTATTTCTGGATTTTTTTTTTCCCCATGCTGGGGATCGAACCCAGAACCTCACATATGCTAGGCAAGCCCTCTCCCACGGAGATACTGCCAGCCCATCTGTTCTTAATGTTAAGATAATTTTGGAATTTGGCTAAGCTTCTTAGTGAGATAGAAATTGTTTATGAATTTCTGTGGCAGCCGTTACAGATGAGAGGGACTCGTGTACTCTACTGAATACTGTTCCCGTATACCATACACATCCTCACACACATTTGTTCATCTTACACATGTACAGGCACACACTGCAGGCATGTTGCTCTGAGGCAATCAAGGCCCATCAAGGGTTCTCCCTACACATGATTTATTTTCTGCTTTTATGATCCATTAAGGACAATCTGAGAGTGACTATTTTATCATGGCTCACATTTGATAAGATCAAGTCAAGAGCAATTTATATACAAGACTTTCATATGCAAAAGTGGCAATACAGACAAAAAATTATGTGAGAAGCAAACTTAAATTATCTTTTCTAAGTTTTGAATAGGAGGCAAATTTAAACAACTCTGCTTTTAAAAAAGGTTGAATTTTAAAATTCATAAAATGATGTAATTTTAAAATAATGACTTAGGGAAAAATATTTGTTAACATTTCTATAATTTTTTTTTGTATTAGAATTTTTGTTTCTTTATCTTAACATCTACTTTTTTGTATGAGCTGGGAAATGTACTTTGTGCTCAGATATTATTTCTATCCCATAAATGCTAAAATTAGCATTCTAAAAATACCCTGATGCTCTGAGCAAACCATATGAAAAAAAGAATTGTAGATTTCCAAAAATCTTTAACTTGCCCTTTTCATAGGATTTAAGGTTTGAATGTGATTCTGCCTTCAAAAAACACAATGATATTCAAGTATCATGTTATAAATAGTAATTTGTCTGTTAATCAGTTTACATGGTGAGTTGAAATAAATACAATTGTTATATAAATTGCCTAACATAAAATGACTTCTGTTCTCTGTTCTCTCCTTTTCTTTCTCTCTTATGGTCACCTAAAACTACTTAAAGACCCATGGAAAGAAAAAGAACAAGGTCTTATCTTTGCTGATTTTGAGACGGGTAAGGCCACCTTGTACTGTCTAAAGAAAATGGAGCCCCAGCAAGGAGGCCTGCAGTCAGGAATCAAAATATATTTGAAGCGTGCTGTTCATAAGGGGCTTCCTGCCTGGCCACCCAAGGTAGAAAGCCAGGAGAAAGTAAGTCTTTGCATTGACTTGCACAAATTCATAGAGCAGGGTCTGCAGAGAAAAAACACCAGACATATAAAGTACAGATCTAAAGCCTCAATTTTGAAGGCTGCATTCACTCAGTTTTGCAACATTAAATTTAAATGCTATTCAGGTTTCAGCATTAGAGAACAAGTAAAGGTTAAGGGTCTGTAAAAATGCCATCCTATTCTCTGGCTTCATATCCTGGCTTAATGCCAGAATTTAAAATAAAAAAGATCATTGTGAGGAAGCATGTTAGGAGCTGAGGTCAGTGAAATTCCTGTTGTCTACTCAAAGAGATCTGTCACTAGTGACCCAAGAATTCAAGCTATGTTAAAGAACTCTCATGTGGGATTTGGAATGAAGCTCTGGAGGAAAGAGTCACTCACCTCCTTTTCATTTATCTGACTCGAGTGCAGGTGTGATGGTGGAAAGAGGTTTCCCCTATTGGGATGCCCTTCTCTAGCTTCTCAGAGAGGCCCCAATCTGCTGCCCACTGGAAGGGCCATGGTCAAGTCAAAGCATCAAGAGTTCTGTAAGTCCTTTTGGGTAAGAGAATGTCTCCATGAAAGGCTCCCAGCATCTGGTCTCCATGAGTCTCTGACAAGTTGAACACTTGCCCATGGTCACAAACGAGGTCACATAGTAACAGGATGGTTTTGGAGTTCGCTTGGTCTAGCTCTAAAGTCCATGCTAACAGCCATTACGCTCTATGACCTGGCTCAGTCACACATGCATTTCCCAACGCCCTAGAGTCATTCAGAACTCACACTGAGGACCTGCCACTCCATAGCTTAGCCCAAGCAGCTGGCTGAATCACCATTTTCATTCTTCCTTTTCCTCTCCCACTTCTGTTTCCTTCTGGATAATTTACAAAAGTCCTTCAATTTGTTATAAGCAAAGGAAATGAGACAAAGAGACCAAATTGGAGGGAAGGGAGTAAGAAAGTCGGAGAATTCATCTTGGTGTGGACAGGAAAGAGAGAACGTACCAGCTCATCTGAGAGCAAGGCGTTGGACCACCTGCTCTACATAGAGAGGCAGACTTTTAAAATAATTCCTTAATCAGACATCATATTGGGACAATATTCTTTATTTGCTTGGACTAAACATATCTATGTTAGTTTATTGTCTGCTTCATGCTGTTTACCAGAGGACTGAGAAATATTTTTGTTTAATTACTGGCCTCCAATTTGCTGAGCTCCTTTTCAATAGAATCATTAATTACAGGTGGAAAGCACCCTCTTCCTGTAACATTACCCTCTTGAATTCCATAACAGACTTCTTTATGTGTCCTTTGGGTGCTCTCTCTTTGGATACCAATGCTTTTCCCAATCTCTTACCTTACTTTTCATTTTCTGTGCAAATAGTCATGAAGCAGGGCACATTCATCTGGGTAGAGGAATATGGAGATTCCTGGATTATTCTAACAATGAATCAAGTTCGGACTCTATGTTAGTTTATGTGAAGAATACAAACATCTTTGTCTTTTGATAAGCCTCTCCTAGCCTTGTTAACACATTGTGCTTTTTAAAAACAAAGGGCTGGAAGATGAGGATGTACCATATTTTTGAGCCAGCAGTAGAAGGGCATTTGACCTGCATTCACAATTCCCCCTGGCTTAAAAATATTCTGATTCATACACTAGATACAGGGATGAGGGTGGGTGGGGGGACCAAGGGAGTTAAATTTAAAGAAAAAAAATCAGCAACTTCAAATAATAAAATCTAATTGATTACCCTTAAACATGTCACATAACAGTCCTCGTTTGACAACACAGAAACTATTACAGAAGATACTGCCAAATTCTGAACTGTACAATGACCTTTTATTCTGAGCAATTGGAAAGTTGTAAATGGGGTTTGGGAGGGGATCAGTTTGTTCTGGTAAATTTTAAGTGGGTCCATGACTGTAACATCTTCCTGATGTTGTATAAAGTGGCACTCAGTAGCCATTAACGAATGAATTCACATTTGTTTTAATGGGATTGGTTTTGTTTTCTGATTGATGATAGATTCACTAAGGAACTCAGCTAAAGCCTGAGAGAAAAGTCCTCACTACCTATATTTTCAAGACTGAAAACATGCTAGATGGGAAGTAACTCTGAAGAAATAACTTGTTTCTGATATGTATTTATCAAATATAATTCTGTTTATTTTTCAGACCCAGATAATTTTAGTTATTAAATATGCTTATGAGATAGAAAACTGTTGATTTCAATAGAGCATGCATTCTTCTATTTTGATTTTTTTTACTTGTGATTTATTGAATGACATTCTTGTATAGCTATATTTTAAAAACACAAACAGTTGCAAACATCTAATGATAATATCTGCAAGAAACTGGAAAAAACGTTAAGATACCATTTTATATACCGTGGTCTGTAATAATGATTTTAGTTCAATTTTGTCCCCATGTCTTATGCCAAGAAAGACTGATTTATAAAGCATGTTCCTCTACCCAGAACCAGATAATACTGGAGATAATTACTATGCCTGGTTCGAATTTAAGAGCAATTTCCTGAGGCACCACTTGTAAAAGTGAAAGAACATACATTGGAATGACTACTGGTTGGCTATATATTAAAAGGAAAATAAGGAATTGGTTCACAGAGCCCATTTTTCAATATCAGTTTAAATAATACATCATCCTGAAGATCTCATAGAACCCTTCAATGTGTGATTTTACTATATGGATACATAAACTTTTTAAACTTTTGTTTGTTTGTTTTTGGCATATAGAAAAACCAAATCAATTATAGTCCAATTCCATACAATTTATTTGCAAATATCAGTGCTTTATCAGCCAAAAGTAAGAGGTAATAAGATCTAAAGCACAATTTGGATTTCTCCTAGAAATCAAACTATATTTTTACATCAAATAAAGAGAAAATTGTTACCTGTGTTAATAAACATCTTATTATATTTAACATTTTAAAAGAACACTGAAAATGGCAAGAACATCGTTTTATTTTACCTTTGAAAGAAACCCATTAAATTTTAAAAGAAAATTAATTTTGAAGATTTAACACACAATTCAACTTAAAAAAAAAAGAAAAAGATGCTCTTTTAGCTTAAGGTAGACCAGTAATAGGTTCATTTAATCTTGTTTTAGAAAACGACTGTGAACTATTCTTCACATATTTTTAGGGTCTTTAAATTTATCCATGCCTTAAGAATGATATTTTCTTCTTATGAAGTTGGAAAAACCAAATGAGGGAGTGAGCAGACCTTTGGCAAATTAAAATAAAAAATCAATTAAATGGTTTAGGCCATTGTTTGGGTTTTTTAAAAACATCATTTTTTTACTTATTTATCTTTGAATAATTAACTTGGATAAATCTTTAGTTTCAGTTACTTGATTTACCAAGGGAAAATTTAAAAATATAGATTTTTCTAGATGCTTAGTTCAGAGAAGATGATGTTATAGTATGGGAGGATTTAAAAAAAACAAAAGCTTTTCTTTCTTTCTAGATTAAAGAAACAAAAGGCAGATAGTTTTTAATCTAAATATCTATTAGAAAACAAATATATTTAAAGCAATGAGTAACAACAAATCCCATTAAGTATTAAACATTTTAGTTATTAAATATGTTCAAATAAGGGTTCCTAACACTTCTGCACTGCAGAAGCACACTGATTATAGAGCTCAGACTGTTATGTTCTCATGTCAGTTTATTTTTGGCATAAACGTATCTAAAGTCACATCTAAATAAATGTGATAATAGATAAACCATTAGTAACTTACTGTTGATTGATTCCTAAATCTTTCACAAACTATCATTATCTGATTGACATATCCTTAGGGTGAATACTTTTATGAACCCTTGCTTTTACGCCAAATACAACACTGAATTAATCTTCTTTAAAGTTAGTCGTACTAGTAAAGTTATTTAAAACTGAATTCAAAACTGTTTCTGTTTCTATTGGCACAATAAAAATTAACATTTTGTAAGTAAACTGTTTTGTATCAAAAGTTAGAAAATGAAATGGCACATATAGAACAGGTTTTGATGAGAATAAGCAATCATTTATAATGGAGCTTTTTCAGTACATGATGTCTGTAAGCACCCTTTCATGGGTAAAGTTTCCCTTTGTAATTGCTAGAAGTTTCCCTTTCCAATGTGTAGAGAACACAGAGAAATACAGTCTTACTGTATTTTCAAAGATATCCTATAGAAAACATTACAGTTTTAAACTTTTTTTTTTTTTAAGAAAAAAAGCAAAAAACAAACCCAATATCATTTTCTTCCCTTGTGTATAGTACACATTCATGAATGTCCATTAGGCACAAGGGAAATTGTTTATACCACATAAGGAACTCTCTAATAGTGAGATTATCAAACATGGTGAAATGACCAATGGGTTCCATTCAGTGAGCAAGAGGAAAACAAATGCAAGAAGATTTGTTTTAATCACTAAACATCGAAGGTTTTAATTTTTAAAAACAATGTTTGTAAACTTGCCCACAAAAGCTGGGTAGTATTAGCCAGTAAGGCACTTTGTCAGCAGACGAAGTAGTAAAGGCTGGATGATTGGCAATTTGCTTAACAGGAAACACTCTATACTAAAGACAGCAAAGACTGGAGTGGGTGGTCCTTTTACTTGTTTACTGTCAAACAGGAGTGGGGAAAGCCCTAAAAATGTTTATTTCACTTTGTTTACCAATTTTCCCTGCAGAAGAAGTCTTTTCGTTGTCATCTTAAAAATATATTAGGAGCTATCAATTTAATAGTGTACCCTTTTTCAATCTAATATCTAAAAGAATATTAACACAGTAGATGTATTTTCAAAACATCCAAGCCATTCTTATTTAAAAATGAATTACAAAACAAAAGATCTTAGTATAAAAATGTTCCATGTTATTAACAATTCCCTTGCAACTTCTGATGGCTTCACATTATTACAATATAAGCTTTGGTATAAAACATGCAAATACAAGCCAACAAGGTTGTGAATACAGTGTCGCCAAACACAAAGCACTTATGAAACAAGGGTTGCGCAGACAGCAGATTCGGGAAGATAACACGCAGCAGGATGACCAGTTCGTTCTTCTACTGGTTCTTATTTATCTCTCTCCATCAAAATCTTCATCAGAGATTGACTCATGAAATAGGGTCTTATTCTAGAACCTTCGTTTCGTTCTAAGTCTTCCACTAGGAGGAAGAATGGCACAGAGTTAAGTATCAAAGAAAAACTGTAAGAGAAGTAACATCGCCATCTGCTGCATACTTGTTTTACAGCAATTCACAATATCACTTTTTTTTAAAACAGTTAACGTTTTTGTAAACATAGGTATGAAAAAACAATCAGCCCTTGTTATCATGATAGCAAAATATTAGCGCATTCTGTCTACCAGGTCAGATTTTGCCAATATGGAATGTCTGTCAGTTGCACGGTCAAGGAAATAACTTTTACTTTCTTTTTCTCCATTTACTTCCTAAATTACCATATTGGTTCAAGATATTGTTGCTTTGACACCAACAACATAGACAGTACAGCTTTGAAAGATAACATTTGTACAATTTTAGTGGATGGTATTTTCAGATCCCTCAAATGAAAGTTTTGAGAAATAATGCTCTGTTTTTACAGTTATTAGTTTACTTGTTCTGTAAGACAATGGCTTCTAAATTTCTTTTCAAAAACAATGCTCATTTTTACTCTAAGCATTTCAGTTACACAAAGAACTAATAGAGAATATCTTTCTGACTAGGAATAAGCCAATAATACAGTTAAACAGGCAACTGTTTCTTACATGTTGACTTAAATTTATTCAAGTGATTTTCTAACTTTTATGTGTGTTGGGATCAACTAGAGAAGTTCATACATTTGAAGGTCCTTGTTCAAGCACAACATATCATAATCACTTGGGTAGGGCAAGGGCATGGATCTGTATTTATAACAAGTTCACTGATAGAGGTTACTGTTTTACTAGATCTTTGTTGTGGCCCTTGTATTATTGAACAACAAAGTAATAGTAAAAATCTAGAAAGATAAGCAATCACTCTTTTTTTGCATTATGCTTCAAGAAGAATGAAAATTAAGAGTTTTTTATTTTTGCCAAGAAGTGAGGCCAGGTGACACTGTTGACTACAATAAACTCAAGAAAGAATGCTAAGAACAAGTTGCTGGTCCATAGGATGGATATTTTGAAAATCTTTTCTATTCATTGGCTACATACTATTAAGCTGCCATAATAAGTCTAAATCTAGCTTCCTACACATTTCAGTGTAATTAAGTAAGTTAGTATTTATAGTAATTTGTAACACAATAATACATTTATGACTCTCTTCTTGGATATGCAGATCATGTTCCAATCAACATGTCAGGTCAACGTGTTCCATTCAGCCAATCCTTATAGGAAAGCTGAGTGTAAAAGCCAAAAGGATGCCAACCGGTTCAGTGATTCTTTTGGGTTTCATTTTTACACTGTTAGCTGCATCATATGCATTTGCACAAGGAGGGGCAGGCAGGTATGTGAGCATCTGAATCATACTTTGCTCTGTTGTGCAAGACTTAGGCATGGCTTACCAGAAACCGGCTTTTTGCTCTGACCAGCAGCAGTGGAGGGTGCAATAACACTTCTCTTATGCCCTGGAGAAAGAGATTTCCTAACCTGGAGCATGTCCATTGTACAGGTACCAGATGAGGTACCTAATGGAGGACCAGTAACATATTTCCTTAGGGTAAATACTGAAGTGTCTTATTTATCTCTTCTCTTTCCTCACTGAAGATTGAGCTAAATTTTAACCTTTTGTAGAACAAAGCCACATAATCCTTATAATCTAGAACTATAGGTATTATCATGACAAGAAAAATCACTTGTCTGAAGCAAATCCATATTAATTTTATACATGGTTGGAGTAGGAAATTCTGGCTGGAGATGAAAGGCCTGAGTTACGTGGCAATTTCAGTTCAGAATATTCTCATGGTTATTGGAGGCTCCTATTATTGGAAATGACATTCTAGAACTCAGATTTGACTTCAATATAAATATAATTTCACTAAAACAGAATGGACTGTGAAGGTTCTTCACTACCTTCACCCAGTAATGCTCTGTAGAACTTGTGTGACAATAACATCTAGATGATTGTTACGGACTTGACTCACATACCGAAATATACTTTTTAAGGAACCATTAATACACACTTAATCACAGTTTGGAGAGTTGTCCACCAGCTTGAACAATATAAACAAAACCATAGCACCATATTTACAAATTTAGTACCTTATGCTGGTTAACTATAAACAATATTTTTATGGCTAACTAATTACACATTTATAGTGCTTTCAAAAGTTGCATGAATATCCTTTACAAATATACACTTATAAAAAGAAAGGCTATCAAAGTGCTGTAATGGAAATAGCACACCATTATAAAAGTTATTAAAACACTTTCTGCTATAGATTTTTAAAAATGATTGACATTAACACTTTGCTCTTCGGCTAGGACCACAGTCTATAAAGTAGACTACTTCACAGAGGTCATTGTCCTCAAGAGTCTGACACTTCAGATGGTGCCAAGTGCTGACTTTTTAGAAAGAGCACAGAAATTTCACATTACCCCAAAGCAACATTTTCAAATTACACTTGGCCTAGTTTACAAAACTTCAACTTAAGTGTGGGTGGCACTGCTGGGAGAGTTTCTACTCTGCCTCTGGGGAGCTGGATGCTTCTTGATCAGAATCCCATGCAGGCTAGGGGATATGAAGTAGGGTTTTTCTGCAGATCCATCATTTCTTTCCAGATCTTCACCTGTGAATGCAGCAGCCAAAGCAGGGCAAAAGCAGCAAGCAGCAGAACAATCATACACATTTTTATAAATTGGAGAATCGAACAGGGAAAAATCAGAGAAATCAGAATTAGTCAAATATAAGAGAAATTAACACAGTTAAGTTGCTGATGCTGGACAAGGCGAGAGGCCCCCACTTCTGCCCAGAAGCATTGGCCCTTCACACTAGTCCTCTCCACTCCCAAAGAAATTTATTCAGATAGTTTCAAAGTTAACAAGGCTATCCATGTCAATGGTTATCTTTAAATACTATGACTGTTCCTTTCAGAAACTTATAAAGGGCCACATTCCTGGGGATGAAGTTGAATAAGAACTATATTAATTGTGTGATAAATGTAGAATAATAGTTGGATATCAGAATTTAAAGTCACTTTTGATAGTAGTCCATATACTGATGTTGCAGCTCCTTCAAGCTGAGGCCCAGGGGTGTAAAATAGCTGAATGTGATCTGGGAGGCAGTGAGGAAGAGAGAGCCAGGCTCTGGATGTCTAGGCCAACTCTCATCCTATTGAACTATAAAGCTCCCTCCCCTAAGTCCTTGTGGTCTACCTCAGATTACATTTCAAGGCGAATGCCAGGGTTCACTGACTTCTCTCATATGTGAATTTACCTTCCTCTTCGCTTGCTGAAGCGAATAGGAAAACGATGGCACTGTCACTGACCCACCTACTGGGTGGCTGGGGGGAGCCTCAGAACTATGATCAGCAGCTAGGAGAAATTTGCATGGGACCAAGTTTCCAGTGAATATATATGATTCACAGCACAGATTATCTAGATTCTTTGGGGAAGCTGGATTATTGACTTAGTAGATTTTTATATTAGAACTCACAGTGACCTTCCTTACACACAAAATGAAAAAGCTAGGAAGGAACATGATAGACAATGCACATTTTTGTTGTTGTTGTTGTTGTTTTTCTTGTCCTTAACCTTATTTCTATATAATATCACATGTTATATATCTGTATCATTTTTACCCTTGAGGTAGCAAGCCTGGTCTGGATCATGAATAATGATCTACCACTATTATTTTTTCCCAGCATAATGGATATAAAAAGATATATAAAAAACAAAAAGTATCCAACACAACCAGAATTTGGCTGAGGGTATCACTTAAGAAGAAAGTCTCCAGAGTATGATGCTGCCTCTCATAATAACTGGGAGGGAAGAGGAATGCCACCCAGTTTCCCTTGTTCTCTATTATCAGAGACAATAGTCTTTGAAAAAGAAACTGTGTCAACACACACTGTATTGAATAAAACTGACATTACACTCATCTTCAAGAAGTTGGAAATCTATTAATAAATATAGATGGAAAATATGTTGTTTTAATTTCCTAAGTTAAAAGTACACTGACAAATTTTAAATCAACATTATTAGCCTAAGCTTTCAAAGACTGAGTACTGGTAGGTTCTAGACATTTCCTAAGATGAATTTTAAGAAATATTTTAAGTTACAAGAATAAAGATCATAGATAGATCTCCAAATAGTGCCTATGATGAGCATCTGAGATGACAGAGCCCCTTCTCTATGATGGCTGAGGCATAGCCTAAGGACCATATGCCTTCTTCCATCCCATGACAAAGCTGGAATTTTCTCATGTTTTCTAAATATGACTTTTCTTTTTAAAAAAAATACAAAAAACAGAGATACTAGTAAAGGATTAAACTTTTCTGTTCCATTTACAGCCAGAGGAAAGGCTAAGTGGTACACAAAGATTCTCTGATTTCTTTGTCCAGTTATTTAAATTATTTCTTAACATGTTCAGAAAGAAAAAAAAAAAAGGTCATTATTTTCTAGGAGATTTTTCTTCACATATTTTACCTTATAATCATTATATCCTCTCATGACCCCAGTGTGAAATTGATGCTGTAGGTTACTCTATAAAAATACTGATAGTTTTATACACATGGATTGCTCAGTAATGCCCTGTACAAAAATAAGTTTTCTCTGCTCTTTTAAGAGCAACATGTCAGAGACATCATATCTCCAGGTATATAACTGTATGCCTAATGGATTCTGTTATCTCACTGGCTGACCCTACGTTCTTTAGGTTTGCCACAGAGATGTCACTGAAGGTGAAAGCCAGATCAAAATCCTGATGGGCACCAGGTTTTCTGGGTTATTATTTTACATGAGGTGCTAATATAAAGCATTTGAGGTGATAATATAAAGCATTTGTTCTGTGTATGTGAATTGCACATGCCACCCAGGGGCTCAGTGGTAAAAGAGGCATTGAAACTCTTAAGGTTCTAAATGGATCCAACCACTTCCCCTATATCCATGTATTATGCTGTTACATTGTATGAGTTGACAGTATGGATTTTTGAAACTGTTGCCATCTTGGCTTTGCAAGTGATCTCCTCAAAGAATTCCCAAAACCCAGTGCACAAAGTTCAGTTACATCCTCAGTTCTGTTCACAAAGCACATCAGAAGTCCATCACTGTTGTAAATTTGAAAAAATATTAAGAACTGAAAAAATAATTTCATGCTAGTACCCAGCCATGACCCAAAACATTCATTTTTTAGTAGATGACTTTCTTGTACTTGGTAAACTGTTCTCTCCACTGTTGAAGTTCTGTTTTGTTTCTCTATCTCTTTAATTTTTATTTTTGTAAGTGTGGGTGATTTTGTAATTTCTCCACAGTTTACTAAGGTATAATTTCCCCAGGTTTATTGAGGTTTGATTGACAAATAACAAATTGTATATATTTAAGGCATGGAGTGTTCTGATACACATACATATCGTGGTGTGGTTACGGAAATCAAGCTAATTAACATATCCATCATCTCACATAGTTATCTTTTTTGTGTGTGTTTGGTGAGGTTGCTTAAGATTTCTCATAGCCAATTCCAAGTATATAATATAGTTTTGTTAATTATGATGACCATGGTGTACATGAGATTTCCAGACTTGTTATCCTGCAACTGCAATTTTGTTCTCATTGAAAAAAAATTTCCTTGGGTTCCTCACCCCTTGGTTCCTGCTCTGCATTCTTCTCCTTTCTTGAGTTTGCATTCTTAGATTCTATATATAAATGAGATTAAGCAATATTTGTTTCTCTGTCTCTGGGTTATTTCCCAGCTGTTAAGGTTTAAAGAGTATATACTAAGCAATGTCTCCTTCCAAATAAATACTGCTTTGTGCTTGTAGCTGGGTAATAACAAACCCACAAATCAGCTAGAAATGTGGGTCCTCACCTTCTCACCTGTCAGTTATCCAGGAAAGGGGGTATTACACATACTGAATACTTACAGAAGCAGAGGAAAATTGTTTCAACACACATTGAATAGACGCTGAAGCACCCCTTAGCAATTAGATAAGATCCAAAAATGACAGTCTGAAATGGATAGAGAAGAAAATCAGCATGTCATTGACTTTGTCCAGAACAACAATGCAGGTGAAAATGAAAGTCATGGCAATAAAGCTTTGAAAACTCTGTTAGATTTCAAAGTAGAGACCAAAAATATTAATAATGCTTTTGTGTGCTCTGTCCTGAGACTTAAAGAAAATGTACTAGATTGCCTATTTGTTTTTTTTTTCTGCTGTCCCAATGCCTATCCCAAATATCCCAGTTTTAGGATACAGCATACCAAGTCAGTAAAGCAAAGGGATTAAAAGCACATACTTCCTGGGTTTGAATCACTGCTCAGGGGCTCAACAAGTTAACCTCTCTGGGCCCCTTATATTAAACTGGCAGTAGAGAAGACAAGAATGTGGGTAACAACAGCATTTATTCCATAGGGATGAGTGAGGTAATACATTATAACAGAGACTCCAAACTTCACCCAGATATCCTCCAGTTGCCTCATCATCTATCTAGATGTTGGGATAATTCAGCAGATTTCCTGACCAGGAACTGCTCTGCCCACAGGGAACTACTTCACTGGAGGGCAACACCCCTAAGGGCAGTTCATGGCTGCCAGGTGCCTGGTGAGGCTGATGAAGGCCCAGATCCTTTGCCAGAATTTAATTGTAATTATGTCTGTGGTCTCAGCTATAACTGCAGCAGAGGTCAGCTTTTTCTGTTGTCCTGTCCTGCCCTCCTGGCTTACTTGCAAATGTACCTTAGCAGAGAACTAATAAAAAACTTTCTACATGAATTTCTTTGTGTCAACAGTTGTTTGCAAGAAACCTAATCTCTAAAGCAGAATGGAGGTTGGCACAAAGTTAGATCCATAATGTTAGCTGTCATTTTGACTGCTCTTTTTTTTTTAATTTCCCTATCTCTGATAAATCAGAGTCAACAATACTCAGCTGCTATCAGCTGCTATGGACTGAATTGTGCTCCCCTCAACCCCAATTCTCATGTTGAAACCCTAAACCCTGATGTGATGGAATTGGAAGATAAGTCTGTGGACAATTAGTTCAGAAGAGTGGTACCCTTATAGAGGGATTAATGCCCTTATAACAAGGGACATGAAAGACACCTCTCTCTCTCTCTTCCTCTCTCTCTTTCCCCACCACATAAACCAACAGTAAGGTATTCATCTGTGTACTAGGAAGAGGGCCTCCAGAAATGGAATCAACTAAGAATAAATTTCTATTGTTTAAGTCATCCAGTCTATGGTACCTATAGCAACCTCAGCTGACTAAGACACCAGTTCTTACCAGCAATGGTACCCAGTAGTAATTTAAAGATGTTGGTCCTTGTATAATCGTTGGTATTTTTTGTGTGAAGATCAAGAAGGCCAGGATACCTACATTGAAAAGGCAGAACACATATATTATGCACTTATAAAAGCGGTAGCTTTTTGCAGCAGAGCATTTTCCAAAGCATCTTTTCAACTTTTTATTATTTTTTAGTAGTAGTACTTACCTATAAACCCAGAAATTAGAATTTTCCCCAGGAACAATATAAAGTGTGTAACTTCATCTGTAACTGCAACTCTGAGTATCAGAAAAAAAGAAAGTATAACTTTATGTTTAAAATGCACTTGTTACTTGAAATTTATGAGAGTAAATAATTCATGAGTTCTTTTTAATAGGTCTTTGCTAAAATTTCATTCAACAATCGTTAAATAAAAGAAATAAAAGTAGAACCCAGAGACAAAATTCTGACTTATTTTTAAATGAAATAAACAGAAGATGGCATTGTAGGCCTGTCGGGTATCATGCAATCCGAGGTGTCAGCCTCTCCTCTCCCTTTCTCTCTCTCTCTCTCTCTCTCTCTCTCTCTCTCCCCCCCACACCCCCTCATTGAGGTTATAGAAACCCTGAATCCTGAAGATGCTGTATTTATTCTCCAATTTTGTTCACTCAGTCTCCATTAATTTTGGGAGAGGATATGGTCAGTGATAAGACTACAATGTGGTTCATCTGGGGAATTTCTTAAGCAAAAGAGATAATAAAAATGAACAAATGGGGGCTGGGATTGTGACTCAGTGGTAGAGTGCTTGCCTAGCACGTGTGAGGCACTGGGTTCAATCCTCAGCACCACATAAAAATAAATAGATAAAACAAAGATATTGTGTTCACCTACAACTAAATTTAAAAAAAAAGAACAAATGCCAGTGTATATAAAAATCTAGGTGGATGATGAAAAACAATTCTAGGATATGAAAAGAAATTAGTGATGTGAGAGAGAAGATTTAAATCTATCAAATTAAAGTAACATTCTTGCCTAACAAGGCTACCAATACTTCAAATAACATATGAAGGATATAAATAACATATGAAGAATATAATGCTCAGGTTCATCAAACTGTTGCAAGTTTCAACCTGATTACTTACTTTATAATGTTTCTCATCAGCAGATTGAAAGCATCTCTTGTTGATATGCAGAAGTTTTTCCCATATATTGCAATCTGAGGAAAACAATTGATACTATTCTTGAGTCAGTAGCATACTCTGACACGACCAACAGACAATCCAATGATAGGAAAACAATTAGATATTTTTCTGTCATCCATACTGATGCCCTCCTCCTTCCAACATATGGGTTTGTGGGAGGCATGAGGACTGTGTGTTCCTCAACTTGGCAGAGCCCTCAGGGTCCCTGACATGATAATGTCCTTCACTTGCCCTAGACCCTGAACTCCAGGGGTTAGACTGCCTCCTACAGATGCACGTCTTTTTATCAAGTTTCAGGTAAGGACCGCTGTCCTTGGAATGTTTTGGATGGACTAAATATTATAGTCTTTACATCAAAAATTGCTCAAATCCAATGCCTTTCCCTGTATTTGTTTTGCTGATTAAAAGACTCAACAGAATACACTCACTGGAGGTAAATGAACAATTATTTGAATCTCCATGACTATTTGAATCACTTCTCCAGACCCCTTTGTCACTGTGATAATAAGCAAGTGTCATATGGTAGTAGCTTCTAAAATTTAAGAAGATTAAATTTCTGAGTCCCCTCTTAAAAAATATCTTTAGAAGTTGTCATATTCCCATGAGAAATACATAACAAATTCAGTCAAATACTGTCAATATCTACACATTTTAACACAAGATTCACAAAAAATCATGAGGCCCTCCTTTCTTCAAATTATGTAAATCCCATAATTAGAAACATATTTTATTCTCAGAGTGAAACATCAACAAAGTTCTCCACCTACTCCTTCAAAGACCACACAATGGTTTTCAATCTAGCACCCTTTTAAGTTCCAGTACTTACACTCTCAAAAAAGATATTGAAGGTAACTATACCCGCAAGAGTACGATATAATTAAGATCCTGCCTCAACTACAGAAGCACAGCCCTGCATCTCAGGTTGGATTCACAAACCCTTTTATCAACATGGCAATGAGTTCAACTGCATTATGTAAAAGTGCTTTAAAGGGAGCAGCATAGATCTGGGGTTGGGTTTGTAAGCAGTAGCTTGGTAAATTTTGAAAAAGAAACCTACTTACCATAATATAGGCATTTCTGTTTAAAAACTTTACCATTTTTTCCAAACACCAGAAACAGCATGTCAGGCAGCATTGTAGAAATTTGGAAATGCTGTTTTGGGCTTCTGTGAGAAGGAGATATTTAAATCTATTAATGATTTGTTTCTGAATCCTATGATTCAAAATAAATAATAATATTTAAATAAATAAATAATATGGTAAATAAAAAATGTTAAAAATGGGCCTTACATTTTTTATTGTGGCAAAATAGACATAAAATTTGTCATTTTAATTATTCTTACATTTACAATTCAGTGGCCTTGAGCACATTTACAATGCTGTGCAACCATCACACAACCCATTTTCAGAACTCTTTATCATCTCAGACAGGAATTCTATAAGCATTCAACAATAATTCCTTGATGCCCACCTCCCACAGCTTCTTGTAACCTCTATTAGACTTTCTGTCCATAAGAATTTGCCTCTTTTGGGTCCCTCATAAGTGGGATCGTAAAAAATGTGTCATTTTTGTATCTTACGTATTTCACTTAACATAATGTCTTCAAGCTTCATCATTTCATTATTTTTTAAGGCTGACTAGTATTCTATTGAATGTATTCAACAAATTTAACTTTTGCCACATCTGTTAAAGGAAATTTGTATCGTTTCCATCTTTCGACTATTGTTAATAATGCAGCTATGAACACTGTTGTGCAAATATCTTTTGAAGTCCTCATTTTCAATTTTTTGGAAATATATCTAGAAGAGGAACTTCTGGATGAATTGTAAATTCCATTTTTAACTTTTGAAGGAACTGCCATACTGTTTCCAACAGTGGTTGTTCCATTCTCACCAGTGATATACAAAGGTTCAATTTCTCTGCATTCTCATCAACACTTTAATTTTCTGTTTTTGTTGTTGTTTTGATAGCCATTCTAAGGAGTGTGAAAATAATTTAATTGTGGTTTTAACTTTGCATTTTACAAATAGTGATATTGAGCATCTTTTCATGTCCCTATTGGCTATTTATGTATCGTTTTTGGAGTAATGTCCATTTAGCTCTTTGCCCATTTTGAACTATTTTTTTCTTTTTTGCTGTTGATTTGTAGTTGCTCTTCATATACTCTGGAGATTAATCCTTTATCTGGCATATTATTTGCAAATATCTTCCACGGTGAGTTGTTGCTTCATTTACCTATAGTATTTTTTGATGCCCAAGTATTTTAAATTATTTTTTATTGATTCATGGTAATTATACATAATAGTGAGATTCATTATGCCACATTCATAGGATTTGATCAATCATTCTCCAGTACCTTCCTTTTCCCTTCTCCTTCTTCCCCTCCTGGATCTACCTACACTCTATACTAATCTCCCTTCTATTGTTTTTATTATTATTTTATTTACAGCATTATAATTATATATTGATATATAAGTGGGCTTTATTTATTGTGGTATACTTATATATAAACATAGCATAATTTGCTAGATTTTGTTCCAAAACTTTTTTTTTTCCAAATTTTGGTACTTTCTCAGTTCCTTCCTGCCTCCCTGCTCCCCACCCTTTGAACTGTACTATTGATTGTCCTTAATTTTGAAGTCGTATTTATTTATTTATTTACTTTGCCCATGCTTTTGGTGTGATAGCTAAGAAATCATCACCAAATCCAATGTCATGAAGATTTCTTCCTATGTTTGCTTTTAAGAGTTTTATAGTATTAGCTGTTATGTTTAGCTCTTTGATCCATTTTGAATTAATTTTCATATTTGGTGTAAGGTGAGGGTCCAACTTCATACTTTCACATGTGGATATCCAGGTTTTCCAGCACTAGTAGTTGAGAGACTAATTTTCACAGCAAATGGTTTTATATGTGAGGGTTTATTTCTGAAATCTCTAGTCTATTGCAGGCCTTCATATCTATCCTTATGCTAATTCTACACTGCTTTAATTACTAGAGCTTTGTATTAAGTTTTGAACTAATTTTAGTTCAAAGGAATAGTTGTTCCTTTTCAAGGTTGTTTCAGCTATCTTTTAAGGCAGATTCTAAACACAGTTCCTGTTTTTGAACTCTGTGTATCATATTAAAGGCTCTGTCAGTGATATTCACATTCATATTTTCAATCTAACCTGACCTGATCCCTAGGCGTGGAACTGCGTACCTGACATCACTACGCTTCCCATCAGTGACAAGATTAAAATAGATTTCTTAATCTTGCACTTTTTTTAATCTGCTTCTCACGTCTTTATAAATAGGACCACACACTTTCCCCCCTCTTTTTCTTCACCAGTGCCCCTCCCTTTCCTGGCATTCGATCCTCCGGTGGCAAGTCCTATTGGGTTGTTCTTCAAAATGTTTTCCAAATGTGACCATTCCCATCTTTACTACCCCAGTCCAAGTTAGTCATCAAGCCTCTCCCTACCCCCTAGCTATTCTTTTTACAACAGTCAGGAAGTCTGAAATAAATTCTGAAATCTTACTTTTAAGTTGGCTGTCCATGTATTCTAGGACCATTTTAAATATTTGAATTAATGAAAGAATTAAAGCTCCAAATGCTAGTGATCCTGTGTGATATCTAGACAAATAAAACAAGAATAAAAGTTTAAAATAAGCTTAAACTCTTAACTATCCGGTTACTATTCAAACAATTTTCACAGGGAAAAGGAATCTGCAGAAGAAAGAGATTTTATTCACATGGAGGGACATCTCCACGGAAGGTTTTAAACCATATACATCTGTCTTGTCCTTCATCTATCAACAGTCTATTCTCAAAAAAATAGACAGTTTGACCTGATCAGTGAAGATACACAGCCAAGTTAATCTTTAATCTTTCATTTGGTGTTCTCTTTTATCTCGTCCCATCTTTAGGAATTCATGGGATTTAGAAGAATATTGGCCTGGGTAGAGATTGTAAAACCATGGCTATGAAAACAGACAAGCCAATGGCTGTCCATAAATATTAAACCCCACTCTTAACCTCATTTTTACTTTGCCACTTGAAGCAACTAGCCAAGACTGAAATATGAGCATACTAAATATAACTGAGGATATAGGTAAAGGAGCTTAACATTGGAGCTTACCGTAAAGCGTATCCAAATGCAGTAAAAAGTGGAAATGGTGGAATATCATCGGGTTTTTTCATGGCCCAGTAATAAGCAGCAAAGGCACCAGCAAGGGAACACTGACCCAATGCAATGACAAAGTTTACAAGCCAGATAAAGACAAATAGATTGTATATATGGAAGGTATTGATGTACTGATGGTACAGAGTCTTTCCACCACCATAGAAAGCAAAGTTACAATGAGCTCCCGGGCAAACTCTGGGAATTTCAGTTGTATTAAAACTCTGTACTCAGGAAACAAAACAAAAGAAAACAAAGCACAAGAATAAATTCCACTTCAAAATAACATCTCCCTGCCTTTTTGTCTTTTGTAGCTCCCAAATAGCATGTCTTGTTTTTTTTTTCTATATTAGCTTTTGCTGTTACTCCACCATTTTCTATTAGATCACTTTATATAATTCTTTAATGAGCCCTGGAAAGTACCTAATTTTCAATCATATGCTCATCACTCTGCAGCTACTATAATTTCACATTTATTAGTGTTTTGTTGGCCATAACAGCCTCTTGAGTATATGATAGAACAAGAAAACTCAGGAAAAAAAGTGATAGTGCTTTCTCTCCAGTATGCCTACCGTTTTCAATGCTCTCCTCCTTAACAGCTGACCCACCCTCCCATTCTAAGTAAATAGTTATTGTTGCATTTGTGCATTGAAAACTCCATTTCCAGATGAATACAACTGCAAGATGAAATGCAGTAGAACTCTGTAATGAAGTAAGTACTGAAGAGAGTTTCTTCTACTTACCTCTGGTTCACAGATTTTATTTGAATAGATACATGGCTCATCTGTGGCTGTAACTGTGTACATAGGTATTCCTGATGTAGCCAAAAAACTGAATGGACTCTATTAAGGAAAAAAATTTTTGCTGGGACATTGAAAATAGACAAGAAAATAACACAGATAACTCTAAAGTTTATGGGGAGATGAACTTCAATATCTTCTAATATTTTAATAATTCATTACTTATCACACCTAAGTTAATATAACCTGCCCCCCCTGCCCTGAGTGGCTCCTAAAAACAGTGAAATATAAAGGACCTCTCTTTGGTTATGTGAGGCCAAAAGAAAACAAGTCTACCACATGATTTTTTTTAAGGAGAAATTAAATCAATAGACAAAACATTTTAGAGCTTGGAAAAAATATCCAGGTATTTCTTTAGGATGTTCCTTGTTTTCCCAGAGAAAGAAAACACTGAAAATAAATTCCTCTTCCTTAACAGTAAATATGGACTTTTGGATTAAAGAGGTCACTCATCAAAGGATACACTGCAGTCACAACCCAGTAGGAAATGCAGATTAAGAGCAGAAAGAAAGTTAAAACTGGATATAGTAATGTACTAGGAATGCATCCAATGGCTCTGAAATAAAACAAATATTTGAAATTCAATCAGAACTGTAATTTCTCAGTGAAATTTTTGTCTGTTAGAAATAGAAATAAGCCTTAGACTGAATTAATTCTAAGAACCTGATTCTTTTTTACTGATCATTCTGTTTGATTCTTATTTGGTTTTTATTTGTATTTATTACCTTTTCTTTTTAAAGTAAGTTGGGATATTCTTCCAAGAACACTGTTATTGTATCTGGTGTATAATGTATGGCTAGGAAAAACCCTGTAAGAATTTGAATAATGAAGTACAATGAGCATCCTTGATTGCTGCCTAAAGTCCCCCAAACTTTCTTCTATGTAGTTATTTGTGTCTGGACCATAAAGTGCTGATACATTATAATCACGAGACCTATTCCTTTGTTCAGATTGTTAAACTTTTAAAGTTGGAGACCTTGAAGATTTTCTGTTAAACCTTGAAGATCTCCTTCTGAGTTCTTCCCTAATTCAAAAATACCTAGCTGGGTGCAGATATGAATACCCATAATCCCAGCAGCTCAGAAGGCTGAGGCAGAAGGACTGTGGGTTCAAAGCCAGCCTCATCAATTTAGCAAGACCCTGTCTCAAAAAAAAGCAAAACAACAACAAAAACCAAAACAGGCTGGGGGTGTGAGTCAGTAGGTAAGTGCCCCTGGCTTCAATTCCTGGAACAAAAAAAAAAAAAAAAAAAAAAAAACAGAAACAAAACCAAAAACAGTCATAATAACAACAACAACAAAAACCCTTCTGTTATATTCAAATGAATTCATTTACAAACATTGAGTGTTGGGAACTTACTTTTACATGATACCATTCATTCCATTTTCCTGACAAAGTATTAGGAAATTCTGCATTTTCTAACTATTTGCAACTTATTTCCAGGAAGAAATGTTCATGGTCAATTACCACTATTTTTTGCCATAGCAACCCTTCAAGTAACTCCATATCCATTTTTTTTTTCTCCTGGATAATCATTTCTTTGATTTCCTCATAGGATATGGTTTGTAAAATGTTCATCATTCTAGCTGGGCTGTTTCTAACTACTACTTACAAATGACCATTTTAGTATATGACAGAACACAGTTTGATGTACCATTTAAAAATATGATGGGAATCCTACTGCTGCAGATGCTTTGACCTGTCTCAGTTCTTTGGCATTTGTTACCTTTCCTTCACTATTTAAGCTATGTTGTTCTCTCTTTTCTTGATACACTGATTTCAAGTGAACTACTGTGTATCCTTAATTTTACTTTGAATTTGCATATGCATTCATTCCAGTCTTTATTTTCCCTTGAGTAAGCTATCAACTTGTTACAGTAGTATTAGCTCTTCAATACACACACACACACACACACACACTTAGGGTCATAACAAGTGGGGCATGTTACCTTGAACTGCACAGTAACATACTATTTTAAGAAATAAACCCAGAAAATCAGTGGTGTTCAGTGGATAATGATAGGGCAACAGTTATTGTGGGAAAAAGAGAGAGAGTTTAACAAACTGCTTGTTGACTATTTAAACCACTGGTTTCAGGTGGCACTATTATTATTATAATAATGTGGCAGTTTGGTTACAATAGTCTTTAAAGATGATTAAAAATAATTTTGGTTCTTGGTCCTTAACAACTTAGTTTCCATCGTCCTAAGTAAAGAGTGTGCTATTGGCTTTATAGGAATGTTCTCCTTGTTTCTTCCATGCATTATTCAAAAGTTTAGAGTAAATGCTATCCTCAAGTGACCTTTTGGAATAGTTTATAAACTATAGGTGTTATTACCTCCCAGCATGAATTTTATGAAAGATTTAGTGTTTATTTTATAATATTTTAAAATAAAAATGGCTCTGTGTTCCTGAATCATGAGCCTTACAGAATGAGTAGTCTGGTGCTGCTAGAATTGTTCCATTAGAAAATGTTGTCAATCATATATAAATGATAATAGCATATAACTGAATTATAGAATCATGGTGATTTAAGTTCTATAAAACATCTCAACTATTAATGTTAATATATGACACAGTAAGGATATAATATAACCTGTAATATAGCTCTTATATAGAACTTTGTTGCTCACTTCAACCTTTTATTCTTCTAATATACACTTGGTGCTCAAAAAAATTGATACATGGACAAGACAGATTGTATCCTATTTACCCTGTAATAACTGAGGATTTGTTAGCTGGGTGTGGTGGTGCACACCTATAATCCCAGCTACTAGGAAAACTGAACCAGGAGGATCTTGAGTTTGAGATCAGCCTTGGCAATTTAGAGAAACCCTCACTCAAAATTTAAAAAAAAAATAACAATGAGCTAGGGGTGTGACTCAGGGGTAAGTGTCCCTCGAGTCAATCTTCAGTACCACAAAAAAAATAGAAATAAAAAACAAAAAGGGATTGTTAGTGGTGAATTTTCTAGTAAGAGTCCTCCTGGATGGAAAATAGTTTTCTTTAAGGAGTCTTCTTAGTGGGAAAACTGTGTGGGGAGTGCAACTAGCAGTGGCTGACTTCACTGACTGACTGAGTTTCTATAGTAAGAGCCTTACTTGCTCCCTTCCTTCAGCAGAACAATGGCGACACGGATTCGTCTCCTGAAGGCGATCAGCAAGATGATGACAATCACTTCAATGATGATGAGTATTATCACTTAGAACAGGGGAAAAAAAAATCAATACAAAAACAAACTTCCTCCGCAAAAGTTAGACCTGTGCTTTAAGATTATTTCTGTCATTTCTGACACTTTATAATTTAAACGTGCTGCCTTTCCAAAATACCAACCTTCTGAGTCAGTTTTAACACCTGCATGATATACTAAGAAATTCAGACTAACACCTTTAGCTAGAGTTTAAACATATCAATTGAAAAGGCTTCATTTTATCCATGAAAACATTTCACACCTCTTGTAGAAATTGAGAAATAGGCAATTAAGAAGGAAGGGTTTCCTTCCATGGTAAGAAACTATGACAGAAGAACTTTTTAGGCTGTTCACCTTGTTCCAATGTCTCTCAACTATCCTTGCTGTCAGGGCAGTCTCTTGGCTGCTACATTTTTATTTTGTGACTCCACCCACCAGAGCCACCACTATTGATGGAACTGGAGTGTAAATACAAGCAAACTTGGCCAATAAACATCTTAGAATCAAAACTAAGGGAACTTAGTTTAGTCCTGAAGTTTATAAGCCTCTTGAACTGAGGGTAATACAAATTTAGTGAACTGTGTCAAATCTATCTTTATGTGAAAAAAGTGAATCACAAAGAAAGAATAACATGTATGTGTGTAAAGAAAAAGAATAAAGAGAGGGAAATTTGAGTTCTTTGGGACCTTTTCTTTTCTTGATGCAATTAAATTTGAACATCCAGCTCCTTTTTTGAGTTTGATGAGCTACTTCTATATTTTTATAATAAATAGCTCCCTCCTCCACCCCTAGAGCTTGTTTCAGTTTTTTCTCTTTAGCTAGCTAAATTAGGTTTGTTAAAACTTAATTTTACATAATCTCAATGATCATGTCCTCAATTCTGAGATGAATATTTAGCAACAAAATTTTAGGGAAAGTAATAATTTTAATATGCATTCTGATTTCAGAAATGTTAAACGTAGAAAGGTATGGATCATAAAATCAAGAAAATATAGTATTACTAATAATAGACCGAAAAGTATAGAAGAAACTTTATAGAAACTTAAAAGCCTACCCAGGAAGGAATCCTTACTATAATCTCCTTGCTAGGTGTTCTATTCATGCTTGAGCACATTCAGTGATGGACAGCTCATTATTCATTCTATTATGATAACACATTCTGATATCATATCACACATCAGTTAAGATGTCCAAGTAAGTAAAATGAGTTAACTTGGAGCTGCAGGAGGAGCTTATGTAAGTATCATCTTGCTTCAACATCTTCTTTTAGTGAAGCTATGTATTTATACTTTCATGCACATTTTATTCTCTTAAAACACTAATTTCATTCTTAAATTGTGGAATATAGCTACTTTATGCTAAAACTGTTATCTTCTGATAAACCTAAGGAAATGACATATTGAAATTGCATTAAGGAACATTGTATATTAAACTTATAATAAGAAAGTGAAATATCAAAATGGTTACCTTAGAGAAATTTAAATGTCTTTTGAATTTATGTACTATGTTGCCCTCTTATGTCTGACTAAGAGTAAGTAATATAAACATATTTGATATCCTATAGAACTGATATTATAACTCTATAATTTAACAGAAGATTAGAACCTGGGGCATAAGAAAACTACCCAGGGTCATGAAGTTAATAGCAGAGAGGAATAGAACTATCTTCCAACATGATCAAGGACTCGTAAAATTATTTTTTATTTGTAAATGCTTATTTTTAGTGTTTTCTTCATAATTTCACATGTATGCTTTTTTCTCTGGTACTTAGAATTTTGCCAAATACAGAGAAAGTAATCAATTAATATCTGATCAATTATGAAGCCACAGGGACTTGTCACTGTATGTTTCCCCTTCTGAGGTTCTTTCTGGACTCCTTATCAGACCTCCCTGAACATGGTAAAGAGCAAAATGAGCAATATAAAAAGGAAATTTTTTTTTGAGCAACATGTAATTAGAGATAATTAAAATCTTGATTAAAGAACATGAATCTCTGAAGTGCAAGGAATATTATAATAAAACCATTCTATGAATATAAGATTAAAGTCATCTTGGAAATTTTGCTTTAAAAATTAATATTACCCTTAACTAATTCAATAATCTGAACAAACATTTTAAAATTTACATTTGTTTTCAGTTACTTATTGCTCAAATTCCTACAATAGTTCAAATGTCTTGTTATGAGAAAAAGTTTCTTATTTTCTTTTTACTTAAACAAGTTTGAAAGATCAACCTTTTATTTCTTTTTGAACATCTTTCTTAGATATCAGGTTACTGTCCATAAACACCCAAAACCCAACCATTTTAAGTTGAAGGCAAATGACTTGAGATCCTTGTAAAGTAATATTTTCTTAGATCATACAATAAATTCTCCTCAATGACTTTTCCATTTGCTATAGCTTGCAGACATTTACCTGTAATTCCATTAGTGGGAAATGTATTTAACAGTTTACACCAACCCATGCTTTCCTTATATGAAGAGATATCTTTTCATTATTATGATAACAAAATTAGTTTTTAAAATCCACTCACAAAATGAGAACCATGTCTGTTTCAATTTAAAGTACATGCTTATGTTTGTCTCAATCCCGATGTCATATATAGTCAGTGTAGAATTTGGGTGGTGCTGAAGATTGTTGTATTCCTGGTAACAGTACCATATTCCTTGAAAAGAAAGAAACACATACTAATGTAAAATGTTATTTTCTGAATTAGAAGCCATATGCTAATCACAAATAACTATGTGAAACTAGTCAGTATGGTCATTTCTACAAAGGTAAGATTCATATTTACATGGTAAATATTTTATTTGGATCTAAAAGTCTAAATTGCTTCTGTATTTGACAGGTTTTCAGTTTTTATGTGGATAACTCTGACTTTAAATGTATTTTTGGTTACTAACAACCTTAATGTCTATCAATAGGAACTGGTTAAATAAATATGGCATATTTGTTCAGTAAGGAAATGTGTTGAAATCTCTCTGGGAGAGAGATTCAACCCAATTCAACACTCAATACCAATTTATTATTTATTAACTTATTTATCCTTATAAATTAGGAATTTCAAGACTTTTTTTTTTATACTGGAGATTGAACCCAGGGTGCTTAACCACTGAGTCATATCCCAGCCTTGAGGCTATCTTAAGACAAGAACAAAAGTTTAGAATTGATATTATTTTAGTTAATTTAATTCTTTTTCTCCTTAATAAGGTATTTTATTTAAAAGTATCATCTGATACTATTATAGTTTCTAAAGCTTTCTTCTGTTTAATGATTGCTAGTATTTTTTTTACCCATCTTTACACTTTCAAATATTGTATTTTCTTTTGTGTAACTTTGTAAATAACAGAGTTCCATCTTGTATATCTGTATTTTCCTCATATTTTTATTGGTGCATTATAATTATACACAATGGTGGGATTTATCATTACATATTCATACATGCACACAGTATAACAATTTGGCCAATACTATTCCCAGGTATTTCCACTTTCTTTCTCTTCCTTCCATTGCCTGATTGCTTTCCTCTACTGATTTCCTTTCAATTTTCATGAGATTCTCTCCTGCCTACCTTTCTTTTCCTTTTTCCTAACTTTCACACATAAGAGAAAACATATGACCCTTGTCTTTCTGAACTTGGCTTATTTTGCTTAACATAATGTTCTCAAGTTCTATCCATCTTCCTGCAAAAGCTGAAACTCTATTGTGTCTATGTACCACATTTTCTTTATCTAATCATCCGTTGATGGACATCTAGGCTGATTCCATAATTTGGCTACTGTGAACTGTGCTGCTATAAACATGGGTATGCATGCTATAGTATACTGACTTTAATTCTTTAGGATAAATACTGAGGAGTATTTATCCTTAGATAGAGCTAAGTTACATGGAGGTTCCATTCCTAGTCTTTTCAAGAACCTCCATACTGATTTCTGTGGTGGTACTAATTCACAATCCTACCAATAGTATAAAGTTTTTCTTTTTCTCTCCAGCCTCTCCAGCATCTGTTATTGTTTGTATTCTTGTTGGCTGCCATTCTGACTGGAGTGAGATGAAATCTCAGTGTAGTTTTGTCTTGCATTTCTCTAAAGGCTAACAATGTTGAACACCTTTACATTTATTTGTTGTCCACCCTCTGGTGGAGGGTTTGGATTTTCTCAATATAGAATCATATCATCAGCAATGACCGCTCATTTGACTTTTCCTTTTCCTAGTCATATCCTTTTGATTTCCTTTCCTTGCCTGATCACTCTGATTAATGTTTCAAGGACTATATTGAATAGGAGTGGTGAGAGTGCACAGTCTTGTCTTTTTCCTGATTTTAAAGGAAATGCTTTTTGTTTTTCTCTATTTAGTATGATTTTGGCTTTGGGTTTGTCATGAATAGCCTTTACTATATTGAGGTAAGTTTCTTCAATCCCTGGCTTCTCTATTTTTTTGTAACATGAATGGGTGTTGAATTTTATCAAAGGTCTTTTCTACATCTATTGAAATGATCATATAATTTTTGTCCTTAATTTTATTTAAGTAGTGAATTACATCTATTGATTTGGATATGTTGAATGAAACTTGCATCCCTGGAATGAAACCCATTTGATCATGCAGTATTATCTTTTTGATGTTTTTGAATAGTTTACTAACATCTTATTGAGAAGTTTTTATCTATGTTCATTAGGGATATTGGTCTATAGTTTTCTTTCCTTGATGTGTCTTTGTCTGGTTTTGGTATCAGGTTTATACTGGTTTTATAAAATGTATATGGGTATATTTCCCCCCCTTTTCAATTTCATGGAATTATTTAAGAAAGAATGGTATTAGTTCTTTTAGATCTTCTGTAAAGTTCTGGTAGAACTCAGCTGAGAATCCAATAGGTCCTGGGCTTTTTTTTTGAAAGACTTTAAATTGCTCTTTCTATTTTGTAATTCGACATTGCTCTGTTTAGGTTTCCTATATCTTCTAAATTCAATTTGGGCAGGTCATATGTTTCTAGAATTTTGTCAACATCTTCCAGATTTTCTAGTTTATTGGACTATGAATTTTCAAAATAGATTCTGATAATCCTCTGGATTTCAGAAGGGTCTGTGTGATATTTCCTTTTTCATCTTGTTGATATGAGTCTTCTTTTTCTCTTTGTTAGTTTGGCTAAAGATTTGTCAATCTTATTTACTTTTTCAAATACAAAGATCTTTGTTGCATTGATCCTGTGTATTGTTTTCTTATTCTCAATTTCACTGATTTTGGCTCTGATCTTAATTATTTTCGGGTTTTTACTCAATAAACACTTCCTGGTTATTGCTCAATATTTTAGTTCTGTACATTTTTTAAATTGGACATTACTATCATCTTAAATAGGCAAAGTCTTTGCTGCTTTACCTATATGTTTATCAATTTATTTTCTTTGCTCACTATCCTTTCTTGTATCTCATATCTTTTTGTGGATTCATTTTTCTTCTTCCACTCACTTTTTAAAAATCACAACTGTATTTCAATCCATCAGGAAAAAACTTGGTTAACCATTAAGACTACCTCCATTGCTAGTGTCTTGGTCTGAGCTTCCCACATAGTACATGGATTGCTGCAAATGCCACCTTACTGGTCTCACTGATCTACTTTTGTCTCACTGTAGTCTATACTGAACCCAAAAGTAGATTTTTTAAAAAGTTAGGATCTCTGGACTTCAAGTACTCTTCCCTCAATAACATTTCTGCCTTACAATAACAACAGTGACAACAAGAACAGATAGTCTTTACCCAACAAATTTGCTATATGCTACCAGATTTCTAAGTACTGTATATATATATATATATATATATATATATATATATATATTATTTATATTATTGTATTTTATGTTCACAGTTATTTCTTATATTGTTGAATAAACTATGAATTAGAGAGACTATGTACTAGCAGAGGATCACACTGTTAATATGACATGCATCTGGGGTTTCTTTCTTCTTCTTCTTTTTTTTTTTCCCAAACTCTAAATTCATGTTCATGATCCAGAGTTATGGAGACTCCTGTGTTTCCCTTAACTTGTTCTCAGTGAGAATTGTTCCCTTGCTGCACATGGGCCCTCGAACACAAGTTGTCTGCTTTTTTTTTTCCCCCTTGCTCGTATGACACATCCACATTGTTTTATGTCCTTGTAAACTGGCTATTCAGTAGGAAATGGTTGCCCATTATATGTAGAAATCCAGTAGCAGAGGTCAGCTGCATTCAGTCTTATTTACTTATAATTTCCAATCTAATTGGACATTTCCTCACCATAAGTAGCTTTAAGCTTAATTGCTACATGATTATTTGCTGTGTAAGCACTATCTAAGGAATCAGTAGAGAATTGAAATTGATTGCTTCATAGGCACTTTGTATATATTGACTGCCTTTCTCTTTTTTTCCATTGTCAAAGTTGTAGCATAGCCAATCTCAGATTTCTTTTGCTGCTTAAGACAAGTCAGTGAAGTCAATAGCAGGCTTTATTGCCCTTTCATTCTTGGTGACAATAACAGAATGCTTGAATCACATGCCTAGATTCTCCTCCAGCAAAGAGCAGGGGTTATTTAGAGCTCCAAGTATCAACAACAACAACAAAAAACAAGACTTTTAAATAGAAGTTACAAAGACAATATATTAAAGGTTAATAATTATTTTAAATGTCACTATTTGTGGGGAGGAAATAATCAAATCAAAAGCAAGTAAATGCTTTCTGGTGATTGACAATGGCAAATGAAAAAAGAAAACATTATTCTGATGTTTGGTAATTTTAAGAGGTTTGATACATACCATATCCTACAATTCCAAGTACACCAAATGCAAATATCCAGAAGAGGAATCCAGCTATGAATTTGAGGAGTATCAGAAATGTCCAACTAAGGATCATGGCAGTACATAGGCCTCTAGAGGGAAAAACCCACAATAAACATGGCAGTCAATGTGCTGCAAATAATATAATAAAAATATCAATACAAGACCCATTTCTATTCAAAATAATGCTTAGAATATTTTATTTTACCTGACTAAAGAAACATTTATAATGATAAAAAGTATAAGCAACCTCGGTTTACCTAGGCACAAAGATGCTCATATAGGAAAATTAGGGACTTTATATATGAGCATCTTTGCATGTCGAGATAAACCAAAGCGCAGTATCAATCATCAGTCTAGGAAAAATACAATTCCTCCAACCTACAATTTGACCTGTCTGCCACAGTTGTTATGTCCTATTTTTTTTCGCTTCACAGCTACTTTCCTAGGTGGTAAATTACAAAATATATGCATGGTGGATTGTGCTACTCTCTCTACCTGGTGATTAATGGAAAACTTCTGCAACATGGATGTCTAGAATAGACTTGAACTAGAAAGACAAGAAATATAACTGACTACCTAGTTCCTGAGCTCATAATTTTGTGGTTGTTATCACTATAACATAATTATCTTGAATAATTTGTTGTGCCTTGACATCACCAGACAGCTATCCCAAGTCCCCTGTGAATTGTGGGCCACTGGTAAGTCTTCAGCATCTCCTAGGCCATGTAGCCTTATCATGAAGGACTATTTTCTATTTTAATTTCTTCCTTGAGTTTGACTGAGCTATTGGAGAAGCTTCTATTAGAATCTGGGTTCAGATTCTAAAGGAGTCCCTGGGGTAATTCCTCAAAGGGAATTCATTAAGATTGTAAGCTGGCTGACTCTTTCATTTAGAACTGACATCTCTGGTGCTATCTACACGTTTTCAATCATAGCAACAGAAAAACCCTGGTACATTGGTCCAATTCATGGTCTCAAATGTTAAATTAAAAAAAATCTTAATAATTACTGTTGCTGAATAGAGCACAGCACAGCATCAAGATTGCCTTTTCAGATAAACACATTGCAGTCTGTGTTTAATTTCAAAAGACATTCCCTCTTAGAATCATAGGTGCTTAAATATTCAATACAACTGAAGGATTATTCTATAGCATAGTCCAAGGGGAACAATCAAAAAAAGACCAGGGGTGGTGAGAAAGCTACTTTTTATGTGTTTTAAATTCTTTCATAAAAATTCTAACAAAATAAACTAAGTCTCAGCCTATTACTACTTTGGCTGTTTATTAATTAAACAGATGAGAGCAGCAGAAAAACTGAAAGTAAAGGCAGGTGCTGATTTCATAGTGGTTAAGAGCGGTACCCAGGTACACAGAGTTTCAGTGTGTGTCTAGGTGAGGTGGACTGAGAGTCTATGGTAATGTACACTTGTTTAGATGAGAGTAGAAAAGCCAAATGAATAAAAAACACAGAAAGTGACAGTAGAGTCTGACAGTAGGGAAACCAGTTCAAGTATTGATAGCATAAACTACAACGTCTGCTATGGAGATGTATCGTAACACACTGAAAATTATTATTGGAATTGTTGAAGACAAAGCATCGAAATGAGCAAATCTCACAAAATACTGTAGTATTATAGCTCTAAAATTACTCAGTAATATTTAATACAATTTTAACTTTATCAAGCCCCATACACTTAAATATATTGTACCTATCTTGTCACCCCCTCCCCAAGTATTTTTATAACTGTTTGGCAAGCCCACATATTTTGTGAATCTACCGCATTCCAAGAACTGTTGTGAGGAGATAGAAAACTAAACATAAGTTGGGTATGATTACCATTATAAAGAGTAGACAGTTCATCAGAGGAAAAAAGCCAGGTAGATAAAATACCTAGTGGTAGGTGCTTTGTAGAAGAAAAGTGGATACTTGTATGTCAAGGAATGCATGTGTGCTTGCATGTGCACTCAAAATGGGTGTGAGGAAAATAGAGGGGAACAATTAAAATAATTAATTGACCTAGGGAAGATAAGAAAGGTTTCACAAGTGACACTAAAACTGGTTTTAAAGAATGACGTGGAGCTATTCAGGACTCAGACAAGAATATGGCAGGAAAGAAACAAAAGGGGAAAAATGTGTTGAATGGTCTGGGGATAGGCACATTATTTGACATATTAAAAATATGTGGTTAATTAAGGAACAAGGATGGAGATGACACTGAGAAACTTAGTGAACCAATCATTTCTGGAATATAAATCTTAAACTTGAAAATTAAAAATCCCCTCTTCCATATGTTTTTTCAGCTTCTCATAAATTACAATGCCTCTGATGATGAGGATGATAATTATTATGTGGAAAGGAAATGTTAGAAAAAATAAGAATAATACTTTGGAGGTCAAGGTAGGGACAAATGAGAAAAAATAACCAGAGAAATAACACCACACACACTATACCATGACGAGCAGCACACAAGTATCATAGACACAGAAGTCCTACAGGTACTGCTGCAGCTGAGTGCTTGAATGAGCAGTGTAGAATGTAAAATTTATATTTTTATAACTTTCCGCTAACAGTGGGAATATTTCTTTACCCCATTTCACCCTACTGGAAAAAAATGGTACTAAAAGATCTAAGTCAACCTTGTAGAATAAGGAATTTGAAGAATCAGTCTATAAAAGAAATCAGAAAGGGGCTGGAGAAGAAGCATCTATGTGTCTACACTTACAGGAGGATCCAATACCACGTCACTGTGTAGTCCTCAAAAACTTTTGATCCAATTGCCCTTGCATCAAGGAGTTTATTGACAGCACTGAATTCAAAGAAGGAAAAATTAATAATTTTTTGGTCAATGTTAAACAGAAATGTTTTTATGATAAAAGGGATTTTTCAAGTTGCTGTTCAAAACATGTTTTTAGAAACCACATATCAGCAGTGACTCTTTTTCTAGTCACATGAAATACCATTTTAGTAAACCTGCAAAGTTGGGAAAACTTCAAAGGTGGATAAGCTTGCCAAAGAGGCCACAGCTGCACACACAGAGAACATGGCTTTTGAGAACAATGCACAGATTCTTCTCTAGTGTATCCAATATATATATTGAGTATATATGCCATCAATACTACAGAAACCTCACTGTAAGAAATAAATTTAAATAAGATCAGTTTGTAATTTATAAAATTCATAGAGTCAAGAATGAATATCATCTTTAGTTCTCCTTCGTATCATCTGACAGCACTGTAGCAGTAAGGCATGATGGAGCACACCCCTAAAAGTGCACAAATCCTTAGAGTCCAATCTGGTTAATAATCAAGGTGAATACACTCTTATAATACAACACTGTCGGCCCTTTCCATGTGACCCAATTGTAATGCCTCCCTCTTTCCCCGAAGTCACCACTACTCTGACTCTTGTGATAATAATTTTCCAGTTGTTTTTTTCATTTAACACTTTTATTATCAATTAATGGGGGAAATTTAATTTAGTTCTGCTTCTTTTTTCATTTAATATCAATGAAATCATACTTCTATTATTATTTTATGAGTTCTTTCACATAACTCTTTCTGAAATTCACCTATGTTGCTATTCTAAAAATGCAGGAGCTGTACTATCATGCCTTTATACTACTTGCTAATGTCTTTCAAGAAAGAGAAATAACAATTTTAGAATACCTCAGGTTTTCAGGATTAATTTTACAACTGAGTTATGCAATGACACTCTGTACATGTTATGTTTTACACACATTGAAGTGTGTGAATATGTGCATCCAGGGAAATATAATTATGTGTGTAGTCAAAAGAAACAGTTAATTTACTGCATTATAGTTAGCGTGTAGAAACTTGATATAGTGCCAATACATTTCCTTATGTCACATTTCTACCCCTATTCACAATGAAAGATTTGACCATTTTGAAAAACATCATTGTTCTAATTCATTCTGTTTTCTCCTTTTATCTACATGCCTTTCTTAATGAACACATATCAAGTTCTCCAATCTAAAGTGACATGTATATGTATATTTCACAATAACAATTCTTTTCCTAAAACCCCTAACCTTACAGGAGCTTTAATATTGGATACAACAACAGGATGCATCAACATTGAAAATGGAAATGTAACAAACATACTTTGAAGCCTCCCTGAGTTCTAGTACATTTCTTGTTTTTCCACTTCCATCTTCATACAGCATCTTATTTCCTACAGTTAAAGAGCCATTTTTGGTTGAGAAGTCAGGCAAACACCTCTGGAGAACTGTAAAAGTAAATTAAAATTATGGTAATCATTTTTCTATTTCTGTCATGATGTCCTTCTTTCTTAAACTTTATTATTTATAATCAAATTCTTACTAGGTATTTAAATGGCTCAATATAGATAGCTAATTGCTTTTTACTTGATAATTTGAAGATTTTCTGGTAGTTCTAAAGCTGAAATAGAAAGCAAATATGATCACAATCTGAAGCTATGTTCTAAATCTTTTGGCAATTTTATACATGGTAAATATTATTTTTTACTTAGTGTATTCACCAAATTGCCACAAATAAGATACATAACACTGGTACATATCACTTTAATAGAAAAGTTGCATTCATTTGTATGACTAAATGAGAATAGGCTTGCTATTTTTAAAAAAATCTTGGATATTCCTTGAATGAAGTTATGAAAACTGGAGATTAGTGAATAATTCCTTGGGAAATAAGAATTGAATTATATAGATTAGTAAAAGAACAGAAATTTTGTTTGTGAATTCTTAATAATTTTTCTCCCTTCCAGATTTTTTATTTACACAGTATTTGGAGGGAGTAGAAACGGAAATTCTGAAGCTATCCAAAGAAGTTCACATTTTGTAGACTAGTATAACTTCTGAGTATTAAATTGCTGTTTGATCTCCTATATTCTTAATTTGATTAAATAGAATCCTTTCTTCTTTACATTATCTATTAAACTATTTTAAGACCAGTTTTAAGTGAAGAGTTAAGAGGAATCAAAAATGGATCGTTTTCACAATTTTTAAGAAGCATTGCCAATTTGCATACATGGCTTAAAATAAAATATTAAAGCACTCAGTTCAGAGAAAGAAATATGTTACCATAAAGCCTTTCCTGACTTTCCTGGCTCTCTTTTTCACCCACCTCCAACTTCTTTAGCTCTTATAATATGGCTGATTCTTCCAGTACCATTCCTATTTTTTCTCCTGCTCTTCACTCAGCTGCTTCACTTGCTCTCAGTCCAATCAGATTTCTGCCCTGCCGTGGAAATTGTCCTCCCAGAGACCCCCATGACCTCATCCCACTAGACTTGTTACCCAGAGTAGTGCCTGGCACTAGTAGAACTTGGCCAATATTTGAATGAGCTAACTTTTCTGAGCCTTTGACATGGTAGACACCGCCGCCTTTGTGAAGCTCTTTTCTTGTTTACATGGAGCACGTCCCTCCTACACTATCCTTCTTTTGGTGCATTCTATCCTTTTCTACTCCCTACATATGAGTGTTCCCATCCTTGTTTCTTCCTCCTTTAAAAAATTTTTTAGATGTTGAGGAACCTTTATTTTATTCATTTATTTATATACAGTGCTGAGAAGCAAACCCAGTGCCTCACACATGCCAGGCAGGTGCTCTGTCACTGAGCCACAACCCCAGCCCTGTTTCTTTCTCTTAATAGTATTTATTTCCTTTTATAAAATCTTTAATGGGTAAACTTTATTAGTGGCATAGTATCCCATTGAGTCCTGGAATGGTTAATTTGAATCATCAACTTCATTGGATTAAGATATTGCAAGGATTAAGAGGCTTATGGGTGTGACAGTGAGGGTGTGTTTAGGAATGATTGGCATGTGGGTCAGCCAACTGAAATGGAGACCCTCTCCAAGCATGGGAAGCACTGTCCAATAGGATGATGGCTTGTATGGAATAAAAATTGGAAGAACAAGGAAGCAGCCCCAAGAGGTTGTTGGATCCTCTTAGGTTACCGGACTCTGGTTTCTTCACTCTTCATATAGAACTCTGCCAGGGATTCTCGAGACTATGGAGAGTCTCATACTAGGTTAGCACCTGTGATCCCTCTTGTTCTGGGGCTTCAGCATCTTGGACTGTGCAGCTACTGGTTCTGCCAGCTCTCCAGCCTGCAGATGGCCGCTGTGGACTATCCAGCTCCTGGTCGTGTTAGCCAACCTAATAAGTTCCCTTTCTATAATTATACTTTCTTTTTGGTCCTGTTCCTCTAGAGAACCCTGACTAATACAAGTCCTACGCTTGATCTGCTGTTAAGAGGAGTACAAGTTGATTGCAATGTTTTTTTAATCTCTCCCTCACTAGGCTGTGAGAGGCTGTGCCTTACTCATTTTGTATCCCCGATGTACATTTTATATTCTGAAATTTAATCTAATGCTACTTGTAAGGGCAGGGATGTGTCTCATATACTGTATCTTACATGACCAATGATTTATTTTCATAACATTTTTAACACTGTTCTTGGCTACAGACAGCTGTTGCTTAGGGCATCTTGGTGAGGGAGGTTGCTTGCAGGACCTTCATCTTTGCTTCAGGGTCTTTAGTAACCCAGATAAAAGTCACAGAGCAATAAAGACATGTGCTTGGTGGAAGCTTCTTCAGTGTACTTGACTTTCTGCTTAAGCTGATGACTATTACCTTTCTTCTGTTATTTTATGTTTTGATGATTAAATTATAAAAAGAGATATGAAAATTATTTACATGATGAAAGATCTCAGAACTTTAGTGGAATGGGAGCTTCACATGATACTATTTTGACAGTGATTTAATTCAGTTTACCTACTTTCCAGGAATGTCACCATCTCAAATAAGAAATAAACCTCACCATTTAGAAGGACTGCAGTGCATCCCTATTCTAAGAGAAACACTCTATCTCCAACTTTCATGCTAACTGGCTGAATCTCTCCACTTTTCTTTTAGAGCCTGATCCCACAGCTACCACTGTTGCTTGCCTTACAACCCCCTTGAGATTCTTCTGGAAGCATTTGCCTCCTTAGGTTAGAGTTTTGACTGCACTCTTTTCAATCCATGCTTGGTTTGAAAAGAAGCTTGGCAAATGTTTGTCCTGCTGGACTCCCACCACCACAGTTCTGACTGCTAGTGCGTTACCCCCTGCAAGGAGATCTTCAGTGTGGTCCTCTGGGTGCATGAAAAGTTTCACCTATTTTAAAAGCTGTATATACTAATTGTTGAGAAGTGCATAAATAAAAAAAAAAAGAAAAAGAAAAAGAGAAAAATGCCCATACTTTTGCCACCCCAAACAACCCTTTAATATTTGGTGTATTTCTTTCTGATCTTTTTCTTTGAACAGATTTTCTTCATTTTTTTGTTCATGCTTGTCACTAAAGTGTATATAATAATTTGCATTTTTCACATCATAGCATATATGTTCATGTTATTGTAATATTTATATTTAATAATTCTAACATTTCTTTTAATGAATGCATCATGATTTATTTAAAATTTCTCTTGTACTTGGATATTTTAATGTTTGTCCCCCCTCTTTTCTCTGATTACTTTGAATAAACACTGTAATAGACATCTGTAAATTTTTATTTTTTGGTAGCTAGGATTATATCTTTAAGAAAGGAAAATAAGTGGTTATTTTTCCCTAAACAGAGTATCACTTTAAGTAAAGATTAAAACTTTAAAGAAATAAAATGTAGACTCATTCAGGAGACATAAATATTTCTAATATAAAATCATAAAGACAAGTATCTGCCTTGCTCCCTCCCCAAAGCAATTCTGAACAAACTTTCTGGTTGAATCCAGGTATGTGTGTTATGGGTATGCATGCTTGTAGAATTCCACATAATCAATCAGATTGGCTTTTAAAAGTCAATTTTCAATCTTTTCCATGTGTTTATGTAGCAACACCCCACAGCCCAGAGCGCCAATGAAACACCTCTGGCTAGAGTCAGAAGGATGGGCTTTACCGCAGACTTCTTAATGAACTCTGGGACCCTGGGCCAGACATAGGAACATTCCTGATCTTAATTTCATCAACTGTGAAACATGGAAACTTAATTAAATTACTTCTTGGTAGAATCTATGTTTCCAAGGTAAAATTATTGATACTTACAAGGTTTGCTTGGAAAAATTGCTGCGGGGCAGTCATCATCCAATAAGACTTCTGAGATGGGCTGAAACAAAGGAAGAGTGAATTAAGTTGTCAGAAGTCATGTGAGGACTACTTTTATTCTCCATATAAAAGTTTTATTCCTTCCAAATGTAACTCCATAAATCTCATTGTTCCAAATTACTTCCTCCCAATAATAATAACTATAAGATCATCACACATAAATTATTGTTTGACAAGCTCTTTTAAATGCCCTAACCATGGTTCAATCAAATCAACAGTAATACAACCAGACCCTCTAAAACCAAAGCACACCTGTGAGGGTGTGTGTCTTTGTTTTAGCTATATCCGGGTGTCTAATACATCACACCACCACTCCCACACCCCGAAAAAGAGCATCTTCTCTACTGTAAAAGTCACTTATATATATATATATATATATATATATATATATATATATATATATATATTTAGAAAGAGTGAGAGAGACAGAGAGAGAGAGAGAGAGAATTTTTTTTAATATTTATTTTTTAGTTTTCGGCGGACACAACATCTTTGTTTGTATGTGGTGCTGAGGATCGAACCCGGGCCACACGCATGCCAGGCGAGCGCGCTACCACTTGAGCCACATCTCCAGCCCAAAAGTCACTAATATTATTTAACATAATTAGGCTTTAGAAATCCCTTATAAATCTCAAACCTAGATAAGTTTCTTTTGTTGTCATTTAATGAGTATTTATCAAACTAGTCTTGGAAGTAAAATTTGTATTTTTAAGTTACTATGGGGCTCCATCACACATAAATGAAATGGTGATTGCAAATTACATTAAATCCTAACACTTCACAGCAAAAATTTCCATCCAGGTAGAGAATTTGCTGGTGCCAGAAAAAAGTTGAAGATAACTTACCAGACTTAACAGCCTGTCTTAACACTCCAAGTCTGCACAATAATACTGTATAAATGGGGTGTGTGTTCATGAGTATACATATGCATTTGTGTTTTAATGGAATGGTGCCTTTAGTAATCATTTCTTAGATGTAGGGGCTTGTCCAGTAACAGATGATCATATTACACTTGAGACTGAGACAAAAGTTAAATTCTTCTCTAGTTGTAACCTTAAACACACATACCTTTTCAGGTTCAGCAGTAGGCTGGCAGAATTGACTGTAGTATAACCAATTACTATTATTTCCTTTGTACGAAATTTGTATTTCCACGTAGGTTAAAAATTTTTCTGGGCACTTGGAGACACAGATCTATGAAGAATAGGAAAATAATGATGGCAACTGAAATGAGAACAAATCAGGAAGTATCCATAAGGTGAGACTTGTGAATTGTCCACCAGAATAAACAGCAAAGCACTGTTTTCTATCAGAAGGATGTAAACCAATTTCTAGTCTTATTGTAAAAAAAAATTAAATTCCAAATACAGAGTTATCAAGCTCTACTCCTTCCTCTCCAATGTTGATGCTATGTTAAAACAATCAGGTACTATACAGTGATGGGCTTATTGTTAGCTTTTGATTTTAAGATAAATATAGATTCATAGGTAGTTTTAAGGAATAGATTCCACATACTCTTTACTTGTTTCCCCCCTAATGGTAAGAGTTTACATATTATAACAAAATATTACAATGAAGAAATTTATATTGTTACAGTCCACTAAACTTATTTAGATTGCACTAGTTTTATATTCACTCATTTGTGTGTGTCTGCATGGGGATGTAGTTCTGTAAAATTTATCACATGTGTATATTTATGTGACCATTACTATAAGATGATGATGGCCTTTTTTTTTCAATACTAGGATACAACTCAGGGGTGCTCTCCCATGGAGCTACATTCCCAAGCCTTTAAAGAATTTTTTTGAGATAGGATTTTGCTAAATTTCAGAGGTTGGCCTCAAACTTGCAATCCTCCAACTTTAGACTTTTAAATTGCTGGGATTATAGGAATGCACCACTTTATGCCTAGAAATGATGGATTTTTAAATAAAACTTTAAAAATGATTTTATGAATTAGAGCTAAGAGTATAAAATCAAGATTAATTTTGCTGTATACTTTATGCATATGCAGAGTGAGAATCTTGTGTCCTTTTCTAAATATGAATAAGATGGTAGTTCAAAATGTTCTGAATGTTGATAACTTATGCCATTACAATAATTAGTGACAGTGAATTATCAAAACATAATCAGAGTTTTATCCCATAAGAAATGAACAATTATTTAGGGCTACTTGCCACAATCAATCATTATTATAGTCTTTTCCCAACACCATGTAGACATGGGCAGAGAGGTCGTTCATGTAATCATTTTATATTAATGAACTTGGGGTACTATCAGTGCCAAACCAAATCACTCATTCATGGAGCCACCAGGAAGTGACTGCAATTCAATTAGTAATTCCACAAAAAGAAAGAATTACTGTTGGTTTTGCTTTTGTTTATAATTAAAAAAAGAAAGAAAGATCATAGTAAGCCATCTGAGCTACAGTCAACCATTAAACATCTCTACTAATTCAGTTTCTTCTTGTGAACTCCTCCTTTGCCCTGACTTGCACCATCTCCACATTGTACTTTGGTAATTATTCTCATGGGCTGACCCCTATAGGCAGTTAGGCAAAAATACTGCTGCTGAGCTGACATCTTTCTTCCTTCTTTTGGGTCATGTTTCTGCTATACACAAGGGTATTTAGTGCTGACTTCACAGCTGTTACTAGGCTAACTAAGTGGACTCCTCAAATCTCAAGTGAACATCGTCTTGTTACAGCAGCAATCTAATACCTTCTAGAAGTTTTGACAAGGTAAACAGCCCATTCCTCCACACTCACACCTCCATATATATTTTCTCTTTCATAGTCTCTCTCCCTCTCCCCCCCACCTCTGTCACACACACACACACACACACACATGCACTTATATACCTCTTCCTATAGTTTGGATGTAGAATGTCCCCCAAAGGCTCATGTGTTGGCTTGGTCCCCAGTGCAGTGATATTCAGAGGTGGGGCTTTTGAGAAATAATTGGATCATCAGCACTCTAGTGTCACCAATAGATTAATCCATTGATGGATTCATAACTGAATGGGTTATGGGATGTTGTAGAAATTATAGGAGGTAGGATTCTACTTGAAGGGAGTGGATCATTGGGGGTATGTTCTGGGGGACTCTGTCTCATTCCTGACCCCTCACCTGCTTTTCTCTCTCTCACCCTTCCTGGCTGCCATGAGGTGAGCAACTTTGCTATGCTATGTCCTCCCTGCCCTGATGGTCTGCCTCACCACAGGCCCAGAATCAACAGACCCAAGTGTCTGAACTGAAACCTGTGAAACCATAAGTCAAAATAAACCTTTCTTCCTTTAATTTGTTTTTCTTATTTTTTTTTTTTTCACAGCAATGGAAAACTGACTAACACACTTCTGGAGAAAATATTAGAGATGTCACAGGTACCCTTCTAAAAAAGCTGAAGAACTATATAGGTGTGTTCACACCATCCAACCTGTCCACATTTTTTGGAAGAAGATTAAGGTTATCATCAATGCAAATATCAAAAGTTCACTCTGATTGCAGTTAATCTGAATAAATTAACATATTAGGAGATATTTCCCAGGCTTGATTATTTACTTAAAAGATGTTGAAAGATAACTGAACTAGTTCCCCTGTTGGATGCATTTCAGTGGATTTATAAAAGTGAGCATTTAAAAAGCTAATGCTTTCATAGGCTTTAAATGATGGTAGGAACTACTGAGTTGGGATCATGACAATTTCAGCTCTTACAAATACACACACCATGTGTACTACACATAAAAGTGCTGTGAATGCAACACATAAAAGAAAGTAAAATGGTAAAATGTGGTTTGTTAAAGAGAATCATATCAGATTTCATTCCAGACACAAATGAGCTCTTAAAAAAAACCAACACAGCAACTGCTCTTTACTCTTTCTTCTATCAGACCAATTTGTTCACTTCAAATAGGGTGCTGATTAGTAGCAATCAACATATAATTAGCCAAAAATGAAGGTCACATTGAGGTTGGGTATCCTAATTGATCTCAGTCTGTCCTTTAAATGCCTGTGGTACATGTCTGGACCACGCTGGCAGTTATCAAAAACTTAATGCATAAAAATATGGCTCAGATCAGTACCACGGCCTGGCAAACTAAGTGCAGGGCTGCATTATCAGCATCTAAAACATATCCTGACTCAATTCTGATTCTCTGTATACCACAAAGGGCACTTCAAGTCTAGTTCTTTGCCCCTATTTTTATATCTCCAATTAATATATGCTAAACACTCTAAATAAATTAGAATGTGGTCATTGGGAGGGTGCATTGCATTGGAGATTAAAACACTATATTTGTTATGAAGAAAAGATGATTTAGTAAATAGTTTATGAAAAATAATAAATAAGCATAATGTGTACTACTTTTTGTTTTGTCATATTAGTGACAGATTTGTATAATGTGGTAGAAAAGTCTTTAACTGAAAGTAGGAAGATATTAATTCACTCATTTATTAATTTATTCATTCCATAAATATTGACTTGTCACCTATGCTGAGACTGTTCCAGGAATTGGGGAGTCAGAAGCGAACAAAACAAATGAGAACTTTGCTCTCAAGCAGTTTGCCTTCTGGTAGGGAGAGATGTATAACAAATAAAAAATAAGCAAATGTTTGTTATAAGATAGGACTAAATGCTATGGGAAAAAAGGATAGAAAAGAGGCTAGATGGGAAGGGATGGCTGGGTGAGATTCCAATCTTAAATAGGTAGGTCTTTCTAAGAAAGTAACATTTGCTTTGCATTTGTAACATTTGACATGAATCAAGCCTTAGAGTCTGGAGGAAGAGGATGGGAGGGAATGAAAATGGTAAAATCAAAGGCTCAGAGGCAGAAGCTTTCTGGGTCCTTTAAAGAACAACAGATGGTCAGTGTGACCTGAGTGTGGCGAGCAAAAGGAGTATCAGAGATGTGTGCTCAGAGAATTGGTCAGACCAAAAAGGATACATAAAATTTATTGGAGCATTTAGGTAAAGAAGAGACATCATCTTACTTTCATTTGAACAGTTCACATTGGTTGCTGGTTTGGAAAGAGACTATAGAAGAGCAGGTCCACACAAGGACAGAGTCAGAAAGACCACTCGGGAGATCACTGAACTGATTTTAGAAAAGAGATGATGGTTCCCTGAGAAAGGGAAGAGGTGGTGGCAAGTAGTTTTGTCCAGAGTAGATTCAGAAGGATGACCAAAGGAATTAACAGACAGTTCAAGCATGGGTATGTGAGAGAGGTATCAAGGATGATTCCATGGAATTCGGTACTAATGTTAATTGAAAGAGAAAAGACTTTTGGGGGTAGGGAAGAAATTTAGGGATGAAGTCAGAGATTAGTAATTCAGTTTTAGACACTTAAAAATTTGTCAACTATACCTGTAAAGACACTACACAGGTGGTTGAATATAAAGCAGATTTTTTTTTCAGATACAAATTAGAAAGGGAAGCGTAGAAGGTGGTGTTAATTCCATGATACTAGATGAGATCACCAAGAGTAAATGCAAAATTAGAAGAGGAAGTTTGGTAAGGAAAGAAACTCCAATGTTTAGGAGATGTCAGAAAGATGAGGAGAAAACAGTACAGGAGACTGATAGGAAACAACCACAGAGCTGAGAGAAAATACAGAAGAATCTGTGCCCCCCAAATAAAATGAAGACGGTATTGTACTGAAGAGAGATTAAACACTTCTACCAGATCAAGTAAATGTGGATTGAGAAATGACTTTTGGTCTAATAATAGGTATATCAATAGGTATAATTTTCAAATTAGGAATTGAAGTAGGGATAAAACCCTGGATGAGACTGAAAGAAAAGGATTTAGATCCCCGAATATAGACCATCTTTTGAAAAAAAAAAAAAAAGAGGCACAGAGATGTGGAGCAGTAGCTAAGAAGGTATACGTGATCAAAAAGATTATTTTAAGATGTAAGGAAGAGCAACATGGTTGGATATTGATGGGGAATGATTTAGTAGAGAAGGAAAAATGATAATGAATAAAACAGGATATTTCTGAAATTATATAATCCAAGATGTGAGACAGGATGAGATCTCATGCACAAAAGGAGGGGCTGTCACAAGAAGCACAGGCAGTTTCTCCCACAGAGAAGAAAAGGAAGGATGAGTATATGATATGAATGAAGGCACATAGGCAAGTGGAGGTCAGAGCAGAACTCTTTCAAACTGTCTCCTGAATGTACTTTCTCATCAAAGCAGGAAGCAAAATCAGGCATGGAGGCTGGGAAGGTTTTGAGGTTGGAGGTAAGAGAGAAAGGTATAAAATTGTTTTCTAGGGAAGCAAGCTAATGAACAGACAGGGGTCTAGAGCAGGATTGTGGAACAGCAGTAAATACCCACTTGAGGTTAGGCCCTAAATTTAAAGGATTGTTGTGCTCTTTTCCAAGAACATGCATAGGAATAGGCAGAAAATCACATTTAACCAGAAATGAGATTTACTACATTGAAGTGAGAGAGGGCAAAGGAGTTGAGAGTATGTATAAAGTTGCAACTTTTAATAAGGTATGCAGGAATCTAAGTCAGGTAGAGAGGGAGATGAAAAATCAGGGAAATGAGGCACACTTTGAAGGGGGGTAAGGATCAGTGGTTTGTACTTCCCAGTGAGGAAGAAGAATCACTAAATTGGGAATATTATAAATTGAGAGGACCAGACAGTAGGATGCTTGAAATTGAGATTGTAAAGAGTAGTGATTATTGTTACTGACAAGGTCAAATATTTGACCTTGAACTTGGGGGCTTAAATAGAGGTGGTCACAGAACTAAGATACCAACATCCTAAGTGGCAGAAATAAAATTTCAAAAATCTTTAAGGGAGATGAGTAAGCAAAGAAAGTGGATCTATAAACTAGCTCTAGGAAAGATCTTTGGGTACTATTACTGGCACATGGAAGCAAGAAAAAGCACATCTGTCAGAAGTCTACTAAGCTTTGAGATTGATGAAATTCCAAATAAATTATAAGCTAGCTTAGAAAAGCCTGCATCTGTCGAAATATTCTTTGAGGCACTAAACATACACAACAGAAGTTGAGCTTCAAAGCTATATGACTGTCTGGAGGGCTTTGTCTCCGGTGCTCAGCAAGGGTGGGGCATGGAGCTAATGGACAGGAAATAGCCTCCGAGGTGGCTCAGCAAAAGACCGTATAAGGAATGGATGAGGAGGAGCCTCTCATGGAGCATAATTCAGGTCAGAGAAAGGACTGCTTCCCATCATCTTGCACCAGGGACTATTGTGTGTTTATCACTTCTCCCTTTCTGAATGGGAGTTTATATTCTAATTTTCCTACACATTCCCCATTGTACATTTAGTGTCAAGATCTGATGGAGAGAACCATCCATCACCCATAGCACCTGGAATGTCAGGACTTTAAGTAATGAAAGCACATGGGACTCCGGATTCTTCTTTCAGAAGAAGAAGGGTATTCTGGGAGCCAGAGGAGTAGACTATGGAAGACACAATCAACTGTCCATTGAGGTTTGTGACTCTTGTTCCATGGAACAAGTTCATTTCTGAACTACCATTGCTTGATTCCTTCCTCCTTGCATCTAGGGATGACCATACCTAATTTATCTCTATGGCATATGAGTAAAATTGCAATGTGTAACTCTTCTGATCCATGGCTTCTTAGAATGGGGTTGTTAACGGGGCACGGTGGCACACATCTGTAATCCCAGCTGTTCAGGAGACTGAGTCAGGAGGATTGCAAGTTCAAAGCCAGCCTCAACAAGGTCCTATGCAACTTAGTGAGATTTTGTCTCAAAATAAATAAATAAATAAATAAAATGGGCTGGGTGTGTGGCTCAGTGTTTAAGCCCTTCTAGGTTTAATCCCCGTTAAAAAAGAAAAAGTGAAAAACAAGAGTAGGGGTGCTTTATTCATTCTTACTATCTCCTTCTGGCAGCTGGATACAGGTGATGAAGAGGACTTAAAGGATGGCAAAGTCATTGGACAGCAGGAGTTTGGAGGAGAGTAGTCCACTGACCACAGACACCTGCCTTGTGCTCTTATGTGGTCAAAGGAGAACATTATGGTGTTAAGTCACTGAAAAACTAGTTAGTTACAGAAGCTAGCCTTCTCTTCCTAATATGATAATGGTCATGAGAAAAATATATCCACTTTATTTGTAAAAGTAGGTGGTTGGATAAGATAATCATTAGGATTCCTTAGTGAGTCTAAATTTTAAATCTCCGTTTAGTTTTGGTTTTCTATGAACAAACATGAGATCTTACTTATGTTTTCCCACCACACTTACACAGAACTCAAATGAAATCTCTGAATTATCTCATCCAAAAATGCTCAGAATTTCTAACACCTCCAGTCTCATCTTTTCCCTTACCTGTGTGGTAGGGCACTGTAGGCCAAACAGAATGGAAGGCTTGGCACATCTTAACAGGTTAAAGTAAAACAAAATGGTCTTGTTCCTGTTAAAAAAAAAAAAGAAAGCAACATAAAATAATCTTTTTAGTAACCATGGGAATGTTCCATAACATTTCAGATCCCAATACTTTAGCATGTGACCTTTTAAAATTGGCTTCATTTTCTCTAGACAATTGAAATGTACTTTCAAACTCCCCTTTAAGTTACCTAATAATTGAAGCATTTTTTTTGTAATTGTAAAACATTGAAATGATTAAATTGTCCATCAGCAAAGGATTGGTTAGATCTAAAACTGTACCTTCATTAAGAGGAATATTACATTGCCATTGAAATTAATGTTGAAGGACACAATGAATGGAAAAATTCACAAAACATTAATTTTAAGAAGCAGCTTACTAAAGAGTATTAAAATATGATTTGATTTCAATTTTGTAAAAAGAGACTTGACAAATTATATTCAGGGAAAAATTATTTTATCTAAATATTGGAACCATATTTCTTTAGTTATTTTTTGTGCCTTTATGTGTTTCTTAGTTAAAAGAAACACGTATTACTTCGGTAATCCGAACAAAGATACAGTGCTATTTTTCTCTCTGTTTAAAATTATAGTCCGTGGCAGCTAATTAATCACTGTCTTTGTGTGGACTATTACTCTGCCATTCAACAAATCATGGTTCTCTTCTGAATCTCAATTTCCTCATTAGTCAAATGAAGACAATACCAGCACTACCTACTTCACAGTAGTGTTAGGAGGACTAAGATAATGTGTAGTGGGCAAGACAAGTGGTTATCTAACTTCAGTAAACATAAGTAAAACTTGGGGTATTTATTGAAAATCCTGATTCCTATCTCCTTTACAACCTTGAGAGCCCAATGGCTGAACATGGGACCCAGGAAAAAGCAACAGTTCCCTTAAGCTCCCCAGTGGATTCAGATATAGGAGGCTTATAAATCACATCTTAAGAAACATAGCCCTAGGTATGAATATTAACAACAAATCCCACCATTGTATACAACTATAATGCACCAATAAAAACATGGGGGGGGGGGGGAGGAAATACATTCCTAACTACTCAAGAAAAATGTTTCCTAGCATTTTTTCAAGTCTCCTGTGAATTCATATGACTACATATATAGCATAAACATAATGGGCTGTTGAGCAATATTTTTCCTACTGGCTCAGAATTAGTAAGAAGAGTCCAAATCCATGGATAAAGAAAGTCCTCCACAAGGAATTGGGGCTAGATTCTTCTATCACTTTATCCTCTTCTTGCCCCTACATAAACAAAAGATGGAGTCAGGGAGGCAGATTGGAGCAAACAGAGTTGGCAAAATGCAATGATCAGAGTTAAGAGGACTTTCCCTCCCCTCCTCACTGAGGAGAGGGTGGGTTGTCTCTTCTCACATCCAAATTACAGAAGGATCTGAGAGAACCTCCCACAGAGACTGAAGGAATCTGAGAGAAGGGCAGACCAGGACCTCATTTTCCAGTTGAACACCTCCTTCTGTGGCAGATCTGCCTCTGTACCTATTTGAGAATGAAGAAATGAGACCCACAGAGTTGAAAAAAGTTAATGGAGAATAAAGAAGGTAAGAGTGAAGCAGCCTGTCATGGTAGATAGGATGTGGAGTCAAGTAAATGGATTTGAGCCCTCGTGGTGGTACCTTGCTTGACAGTAAAAGAATGTGGATACGAAACACCAGGAATGGAAGAACTAAAGGCATTCGTGGGACAGCAAAACAGAGCTGATATTTCACATCAGACAACTATACAGCCACCCTGTTCCCATGAATGAGCCATTATTTGGATGCTTGCTATAAAGAGAGTATTGATGACCAATCAGTTATGTCTCAGTTGTAATAACAACCATGTGGGAGTGTGTCGGGGAGTGGTCATCAACATAACAGACATACATCCCCTTCCTTATCCTACCATCCTTCACCGCACAACAAAAGAGCTAGAACAAGAAAGAGAAAAATGAAGTGAAAGAGTAGACCAGGCTCCTTCTCCCATTCCAAGTTTCTTTGCAGGGTCAAACTTGCAAACCAGCTGGAGGGGATTAGAAAAAATAAGATTAAAATTTTAAATTTAGCTACCCTAAGATTTTAATGATGTATCTGGAAACTTTGCAACAGGCAGGGAGATATGAAAGAGCATGGTTAAAATCAATGATAGAAGAAAAATAAACCTATTTTGTGCTTGTATCCCATTGACGTCAAATGGTTAATGCAGCTGGTTACTAATTCATACACAATATGCACAGGGAAACCTTAGAGATCCACAAGTGTCAGCTTGGCTCTCTCATCACTCAAGCAACTACACCATCCACACAACCTCTCCATGCATATGACTCAAATTTGTACCTAAATAAATAAACTACACATCATGGATCTTGGGATCCCTAAGGAGAAATTAAAACTATGAATGGTAAATCAGTAAGTGTCAGGAGTCCACCATAGTTAAATTTAATTTATAAACTGCGAAATGCAACATACACTCAATTTATTCACCAGATTATGTTATCCTCAAGGGTGCAAGCGATACTTTATTCATCTTTATGTTCCTACCTTGCCAAAATGTAGTCTAGTACTTGACCCATTATAGCCACACACAAATGTGGAATGAATGAAACCAATTCCAACATAAGACTTTTCAAAGTCTTAGTTAAAATTCTCTTTAAATTTTCAGTACAAATCTTCTTCCACTTTCTGTCATATATTCAAATTTCAGTGGATCTCACATTCCTTAGAGTACCAATTAGATGATGATGGTTGCGGCTGATCAATTCTGAGGGAGCGATTGAAAAAGTAACTCACTCTTTAGTGGAAATCATATTCTCATCAAGAAATAAAAAAGAGAAACAATAGCAAACTGTAAATTCAAGATGATGTACCATCTCTTCCTGAGACATATTAATATAAAATAATAAAAGTACAAAAAAAGAATAATCATCACACTAGCTAAGGTTATGGAGGGTGAATCTGCTCACAAGTCACAAGAGTTCAACAATACTTATGGAAGTGCACTGAATGATGAATACATCCTACAGGACCATAGAAAGGGAGAGGCATGAATTGCCTGTTAAAAATCATGAAAAATGCTGGACACAGAGTTAACAGTGATAAATGTAGCCAAAAGCAGGAAGATCATTTGAGAGTTTACATATAGACCTGTAGAGTAAATCACCACCTCTATACTTCTCCTATACCCCTATACTCCTACAAGTCCAGCATCCAGGAAAAACAAGCAAAAACAGAGACTTCATATTAAATGAACCTTCTGAGGATAACAAAGACTTGTGGATTTGATATTTTGGCCCACGTCCCTTTATATTATAGTATTTTGAAAGTCATTGCCTGACATCTACCTGGTTTTCCATCAGCTCATGCTGTAGTAGAATCTGACAGCCAACAGAGACCCAACCCCAGACATAGCGCAGAGAGCTCCTTGGAAACTTGACCTGCAAACACAGCAGCCAAGAAAACCCACACACTCATCCTCAGCCTTTCTTTAGTAAGAATGAATGATCACTAATATAAGTGGATGCTAATCCATGGCAGTGGGCGGGGGGGGGGGGCGGTCCATGGGAAAAGTGGAGGAATTTTGAATGGGGCAAAAGGGTAGTAAAGACAGTGGAATGAGATGGACATCATTACCCTAGGTACATGTATGATTGCACAAATGGTGTGACTCTACTTCATGCACAACCAGAGAAGTGAAAAATTCTGTTCCATTTGTGTACAATGAATTGAAGAGCTTTCTACTGTCATGTATCACTGATTAGAACTAATAAATAATAATAAAAAAGAATGAATGATCAATCAGGAATATGAGGCAAATAAGAAAACAAAAGGAAAAGACTAAGGTAAGCAGACAGAATCTGATGCTGGATGAAATTAATAAAATAATTTAGGGCACGCAGGGTTCTTTAACACACGTCCACTAGGTGTAGTGGCACAAACCTGTAATCCCTGGCTGAAGGAATTGAATTCTCAAAAAATCCAAAGTATGACTAATAATTTTTAAAAAGAGGGCTAATAAAATGCAAGGAAAGGGCTAGGGTTGTGGCTCAGCCGTAGAGTGCTTGCCTAGCATGTGTGAGGCACTGGGTTCAATTCTCAGCACTGCATGTAGATAAATAAGTCCATTGACAACTAAAAATTATTTTTTAAAAAATGCAAGGAAAAAAAGCAGCAAAGAAATAACAAAAGAATGATACCAGACTTAAAACTATATTACAGAGCAATAGTAACAAAAACAGCATGGTACTGGTACCAAAACAGGAGGGTGGACCAATGGTACAGAATAGAGGACACAGAGACTAATCCACAAAGCTACAATTATCTTATATTTGATAAAGGAGCTAAAAGCATGCAATGGAGGGAGGATAGCATCTTCAACAAATGGTGCTGGGAAAACTGGAAATCCATATGCAACAAAATGAAACTGAATCCCCTCCTCTCGCCATGCACAAAAGTTAACTCAAAGTGGATCAAGGAGCTAGATATCAAATCAGAGACTCTGCGTCTGATAGAAGAAAAAGTTGGCGCCGATCTACATATTGTAGGGTCGGGCTCCAAATTCCTTAATAGGACACCCATAGCACAAAAGTTGATAACAAGAATCAACAAATGGGACTTACTTAAACTGAAAAGTTTTCTCTCAGCAAGAGAAACAATAAAAGAGGTAAATAGGGAGCCTACATCATGGGAACAAATTTTTACTCCTCACACTTCAGATAGAGCCCTAATATCCAGAGTATACAAAGAACTCAAAAAATTAAACAATAAGAAAACAAATAACCCAATCAACAAATGGGCCAAAGACCTGAACAGACACTTCTCAGAGGAGGACATACAATCAGTGAACAAGTACATGAAAAAATGCTCACCATCTCTAGCAGTCAGAGAAATGCAAATCAAAACCACCCTAAGATACCATCTCACTCCAGTAAGATTGGCAGCCATTATGAAGTCAAACAACAACAAGTGCTGGCGAGGATGTGGGGAAAAGGGTACTCTTGTACATTGCTGGTGGGACTGC